GTAATGTTATCAAAGTAATCGTGCCTTATATGGCAAATTTTTAAAAAAATCAGTCAACGCATGTTTTGCTTTAAAAAGACATTCGTAATAATGGCAGAAGAGCCCCGATCTACGTTAATGATTGTACAATTATTTAACTTGGCTATATGTTTCAGAATATGAACATTGATTTTGAAAATGTTTTACGTCGTTTGAATAGGACATTAAAGTGTAAAAAGTATTTTGAAATTGAAATTCGGATTTGAGGAAAGACAAAAATTGCGTTGTTAACAGTAACAGCGATAAATACTATAACAAAAAGTTCATATCACCTCGGGGGACAAACGGTAGTTATGGACAGTTTGTTTATCTCACCCAAACCCTTTGTAAACAATGGATGACGATCCATAAACTACCATACGGCCCTCATTTCCATGATTTATTTTTTACATCGAAAAGCAGTGTGTAAGATACTAAATTTCTTGCAACACGTCACATGTTTCTGACATAATCTTCATTAAGTAAGCTGGAAACTAAAATTTTGGACAGCAAAATGTTCGCGATCACAAGCTAGAGAGGCCTAATCAGAATAGTCTAAATATTTTTCTGGCAAATGTTGCCTAAGGAAGATATATATTATTTTATCAAGAATATCATATTATTTGATATAACATACTCTTAAAATAATAACATTTCAAGCGTTATGAACAGGGCCATGCACAGAAAATGGTCCAATATTTAAAGAGGTAAGATTTTGTGTAGGTCGAAGGAAGTTCTCAATGGAATGACAAATGAGAACATATGTTATAAAAATCAGTTAAAAAAGACATATCTCGATAATACCGGTATTACAGACAACAAAAACCATCGATACAAGTAAAAGAATACAGAATAAAAACAGTATCAGTGAATGCTCGCATATCGTATAGAAAAACATTTTGCCGTCGTACAATACAAACATTTAAGTTATCCATGCTCATAAACCTTTAATGCCAATACCAATTCTATGGTTACATAAAAAAATGGATGGTAGAAGAAAACATATTTTATTTCAGTTTCGTGAATTTTTTTAAGTGAATAAAACTATAATGAAATGACACAGCAACCTATCCAAAAATCATTAAAATATCTATAGTTCAAAATAGGTCTTTAACAATAGAAAGGATTGATGCCTATAGCATATGCTAAGCTGTAAATCACATCAAGTCTACCGTTGGTTTTCCCGTTTGAATGGTTTTACACTAGTAATTTTTCGGGCCCTTTATAGCTTACTTTGCGATGTGAGCCAAGACTCCGTGTTGAAGACAGTACTTTGACCTATAATGGTTTACTTTTATAAATTGTGACTTGGATGGATAGTTGTCTCATTGGCACTCATACCACATCTTCTTATTATCTATAAACAAGTTGTGGCTAAAGATTACAGAGATGATCGAATGAATTAAGGCTTTATTCCCGTAAAATCAAAATGTTAGAGAGAACATAATTTTTTATACATATTAACAATATACGAATATGTAGTGCGTGCGTGAATTAAATAATACAATAAGCACTTAAAGTTCTAACATGAAGGTACGACCTTCTCTTGGACGTTCCTAATAAAGAAGTGTGTTGGGTAAGAGCCATATTCGGCCCCGAATATTAGGTCTATTGTATCAAAATTAAAAATGTTTCAAGTTGGTGAAAACGTTAGAAAGTGAAATAGAACTTTATTGTATAGCTTTTCTTATAAACCGTCAAAATTGAAAACTCAAAGAGGCAATTAGTAGAGATTTTGGTGAAATGTGACAAAATTCTCTTTATTTTAACCACGTTTAGGCCTGAAAAACATACAGCACAGGCTTCGATAAGCTAACTATTCAAGTGAGATAGGTAAAATGTTATAACAAACAATGAAATGAAATATTTTTGTGTCGACGCCTGCGCTCTATGTTTCCAATGTAAAAGAACATGGAAATTTAGCTGTTATCATTGACTCTTTGTGAAAAATTGAAATGTGTGTTAATTGATGACGTCATGACATGAACGCTAATACGTAAAATTTCAACATATAGACATATTTCCTTTTTTGTTTTGCATTGTTTCATTACGTTTTATGTTCAGTCGGAAAATCTTTACTACTAAAATAACGAGGTCCAATTTGTTAGCCGGCATGACGTACAAAATACGAATCAAAGAATTCAACTTTATGTATAACTAATAACTAATAGAGGACAATGGTGTTGATGACACATTTCACCATAGCAGGCCCTATTGTTTTCCACATAATTAATATTACCAATAATTAACAAATTCCGGGTAGAATGCGATACCGATACCAATAGCACATGTCAAATGTAGTTTCCGGTTATAGTAAGAAAACAAGGCCGGGTTCAAACAGAAAGATTTTGAAAGCAGAGAAAACTGTACAACTTATAATCAGCATGACTTTATCAGATGATCATACGAATACTAAAAATACAGGCTAAAAATAAGGCGTAGGTAAATTAATTCAGTCACAGACCGCGGGTGTGTTCTAGTATATAAGAATGTTTTTAATTTATGGGGGACATCATTTTCAATTATTCTGTAATTTCATCAATTTAAAATTATTTATTGGTTTTTCTTCTTTATCATTACCGGAAAACAACAGTTCTATTGCATTTTATTGAAGATGCATACAGCAGATAAAATTCTAAAATTCTGACCCATTCAAAAAATAAAAAATGAAATAACCATAAGGAAAAAGCCGCTTACACTTATACACTTATAGCATCAATGCTTCCTTCTACTTGTTCTAAAAGAGCAATTATTTTGTTTCGATCTGAAACATAAATCCTGCATTAAGAAGGAAACAACTATACTTCTTTTCGAAGACAAAGCGCTTTGCTCTCTTTTTAGGCAGAATCTTTTTATACCAAACAAAAGGAAGATTGTCTTATCGTTTTTATCGATAAAGTTGGGATGTAGCAGATCGAGGACAATTTCTAGCACTTTCTAATAAGTCACTTTTTTCTTTCATAACAAAATACGTTTATGACAATAAAAAATAAGATTTAGCTTCTTTTTGTCATACAAATGGTTTAAAATTATATAATTTAGTCATTATAGCCTAACGATATTTCAAATTTGTCTGTTTTATTATTCGTCTCTGTTCAAAAGGTATACTAAGATTTCTGAACGCATGTTTTTGAATTACCTTCCATCGAGTTCACACGCAACCAAAAACCTAAATTTGAATGCATTAGATGGACATATTTTTAGTATTTAGCAAACTTTATGGTAAATAGTAACAAGAACAATAAATTGGATTTAATACAAAATTTTCATAGCATTTCCATCCTTATATAGCAAACGATGGTTATAAAAGCTTTGTGTAAAATTCGTTTAAAATGTTGCTTTGTGATTAATTCCGCGAGTGAATGTATTTTTCTACTAGCTGTACACTTTTAAGGAACATGTCATCAGTTTGTGTGCGGCTAAATGAAAGAAGTTCAGGGAAAAAATTCAAACAAAATCGATTGATATGCACCAAAACGAGCATTTTGCAAGTTCACCCACTAGGCAATTCAAGCAGACCTGATTCCGATGTAAACATTTAATGCGAAGAAATAAAGAAGACCTCACATACATATTCAAAGTTAAGGCCTAGATAGAGCTTTAAATTGTGTATGTACATTAATTTTCTTACAACTTCTTTATCAGTATGACGAAAATATAGATATTTCTTACAACTTCTTTATCAGTAAGACGAAAATATAGATATTTCTTTTAAATTTCAGTGTATCAATCTATCTTGATAAATAAAGAAAATAAGACATTTAGTATTTGCATGTATATCTCAAATAATTTAATTTTGGATGTAACGCGTCTTCCAATTGGCTGACGCTGTTTTGTTAATCAGCTCATAGTCATAATTTTTTCATGTGACCTTGACGTCATCAACGTTTTTTCATGATTTATTCAGGTTTAAAATGGAATTAAGAATTAAATAATAAGAAATGACTGTAATATTTTTTTCTGTCTACTAGTATTCGAAATAACATAAAAATGTGGTGCACACTTTTAAATAACCCGCTATGCGGGTTATTCAGTGTGCACCACATTTTTGATGTTATTTTTTCATAGACAGAAAAAATGTTACAGTTATTCCTTAAATAACATAGTTCAACAGATATTTTTCCTAAAAATGTATCATTATGACCTAGAAATAACTCTTAAAGAGTATGGTTACCGGCGTTCACAATGTGTTGACTTTGTCGTCTTCTATAATTCTCGCGTCATCGGTTTGTCATGTGAACTTATTGATCTGTCATGATAATAGGACGAAACAACAATATGCATATGGGAATCTCCTAATACTGTATTGCCGTTGTGACACGATAGCAAAAGGAAATGGTTAAATACATTCATACACAATAAAAGCTACTGTGTGGAATACATAAACTTGAAATCTAATGTTCAGTTCCGATGCTTAAATTAATTACATGTTTTATACGAACTATTACGTTTGGTACATTTAAACTTTTAATTTTGAAACGTCATTCAAATAGCAGTACAATAGCAGAACATTCCGATTTTTTTCTCATTCGTACTTCCTCATATAACATTTAAGAATGCAACTTCAAGTTGAAAAACATCAAGAAAAGCGCTGTTCTTTTGCTTTTGCTTTTTTCATGTGTGTTAATAGATTGTATATCATGAATTGATACTACATAATCTTTTTTTTCTTTTCAATTATTTATAAAAAAAAAAAAAAACCGTTTTACACATTTTTGATTCAATCAATACAAAGTATAATTGTATAAATTATTTTCTAATCAGAAGTTTTTTTGTGTGTGAATATTCCATCAAAATAAAACTATGCAACAAAAAACCATTTAATCCATTCGCTTTTATTTCAGTTCGTGTCATATGTTCTATATAATCTCATCATAGATACCAGGATTGAAATTTTGAACGCCAGACGCGCGTTTCATCTACAAAATACTCATCGGTGATTCTCAAACAATAAAGTTTAAAAGGCAAATTAAAGTACAAAGCTGAAGAGAATTGTTTATATTAACACTATTGTTACATGTTGTAATGATCTTTTTTTTATTACAAATAGCGAGTTTTTTTTTAAACATAGCGCTTCAATACACCGCAAATAATGATCACACATGAGAAAAACATAAACATATAAAATGCATTTTGATCATTTTCTGCAGAATGATCCATTGTCTGTAAAATTGAGATTATTTCTATGTTTCCATTGTCTTTGGCATAAAATAAAGATGTTCGGCCATCTTTATCTCTTTGATCCACCAATGCCTTATTTCTGACCAATAGACTAACAATTCCAGGGTTACCAGCTCTACAAGCAACATGTAATGGCGTACGTTTGTCCAGTTTTGCTCTGTTTATGTCCGCGCCATTTTTAATCAGGAACTCTGCCATTTCTGTAAGATTATTATAACTTGCCAAATGCAGTGGGGTGGAACCGTTCTTATTGATGTCGTTGACGTTTGCGTCACTTTCAATCAAAAATTTCACAATATCGATATGATTTTCATGAGTTGCCAAATGTATAGGTTTTGATTGATTGTTATTTCCTTGATGTATATCTGCTCCGTGCTGAAGCAAAATTTCTACAATCTCTTTATGACCCTCGTGAGATGCAAAATGCAATGGCCTTGATCCGTTTATATTTCCTTTGTTGACGACAGCTGTAGCCCCATTGTCGAGTAAAAGTTTAACTATATTTGTATGACCTTCGTGTGATGCTAAATGAAGCGGGGTTAAACCAAAATAGTTCTCCTCATTTACCGGCAATCCTTGTAATATCAACGATTTTGCCAATTCGTAATTTCCATCATGGCACACTTCGTGCAATACTGTTAAGATTCCTAAGTCTGTACAGGTTAAAAACACATTGTGAGTTAAACAATTGCAACTAATAAACAGTTTATTTTTGTTGTTGTGCTGTTATACCAATGTCCTAGGTTAGGGGAGGATTGAGCGTTCACAAACATGTTTGACACCGTCACAATCTTTAAATGCCTGTCCAAAGTCAAGAGCCTGTAGTTCAGTGATTTTATATGGTTTATGTCTGTCATATGTGTTTTGCGTAAATTGTTTTGTTTAAAATCAGGCCGTTAGTTTTATCATTGGAATTGTTTCACATTTGTCATGTCGGGGTTTTTATAGCCGACTATTTGGTATGGGGTTTTCTCATTGTTGAAGGTCGTACGGTTGCCTATAACTGCTTACATTGACTTCATTTGAGCTCTGGTGGATATTTTGCTCATTGGCAATCATACCCCATCTCCTTATCTTTATAATGTATATTTCATATATTTCTATTTTTTCTGTTTCTAATTGACATCACTGTGTATAATGTTTTTTTTTCTCTCACTCTCGTAGTATTACTAATTTGTATTGTCCAAACATGCGTTTTCATTGCTGTGTGTTAGTCGTTATTAACTTGTTCAAAATAAACAAGTTTATATTCCGGTTTATTGTTCGGTTAATGATTATCTATGTCTATTTGAAGTTGTTCAAATTTGTTTTGTCTTTTGTTTGTTTGTTTGTTTTTTCGTCTTTCTTTGTCGCTTACATGGTAACTTTCGATATTTGCCCCTGCTTTGTTCTGAGTGTTATGATTTTTAACGGTGATCTTATAATTATCTTGAACATTGTGATGGAAAATTGGTAATTGTATTACGATGCAAATACTTTTTTGCGTATCTTAAAAGAGTTAGGAGATACGGAAAATCCGAAAGAAAGACCGTTTGTAAATCAATCAAAAATACCAGATTATATAACTTAATTGATTAACAAGAAAATTGGAAAATGAAACCGATTCCGTAATAACATGTACTCGTATTAGTGTCCGGTGAGATGAGGTAAAAGAAAAGAGATATTTGTCATATTTGCTTTTTAAATTATATACCCATAACAATATTATTGCAAATATTTGTTATTGAATTCCTGATATTGAATCACAATTAATCCCTTATATTCTGTATTAGTCAATTAAAGATTTTTACCATTCTATGTACACTAATCAATTTTTCGAATCCTCTAAACTTCCATTTTGTTTGCTTCACTTGTGCTATTATATCGCATATCCTTGATATTTTTGGAAATCTCGTAGTGCTTTGACTTTTGTGTGATATTGTTTAAACTTACTTTTATCAAATGTTCCATGCCTAATTGGATCACATTCTATGCCTAGAGCTGGATTTAGTTTGACAATAGCCTGAAATATTAACAAGAGAAAACATAACCTCTAAGAGACAAAACTATCATTCTAAAAATTCTGAACTTTTATGACTAAACTTAATTATTGGTCCAAACCCAAACAAATAAAACCTAAGCTATCTATATAAATTAAAATGAAACACACAGTCACGAAAATCTTCAAACCTTAAAAGAAGAAAAATACCATTAAAAACAACAACAAAGGCAAGCAATAAAATAAATTATAAACAAAACGAAACGAAACAAAACAAAACTAAACAAACCAAGAAAACAAGCCAATAGTAAAATAAAATAACATCAATTAGAAAGAATAAAACAAAACTTTAATAAAGTAAAACTAAGCAAATATCATGTAAGGATTGTTAAAGGGGAGTAGGTTCACGAAGGGTTACAATTGGCCCTAAGATTTCATGTTTTATAGATCAACAAATCTGTTAGGCACCCCACATTATAAATAACGCAGTTATGACCCCTATGTATGCATGATTTGTGTTGTAGCGTTAGTTTTGGTCCAATTTGTCCATAATTTATGACACTTTTTAGCATAATTTACTTTAGCCGCCATCCCTGATCCAGAATTTGTTTGTGTCCTGGGATTCAATATTAACCTTGGCACCTTTTGGTTACAACACATTTTGGATCGTAGGTAGTAGCCAAGGTGTTTCTAAAGCTTTTAAGTTTAAAAGATGCACAAAATCATCGTATTTTGGCAAATCTCCAAAATATGCTGACTTTGGAGCCTATAATGTACTCTCATGAAGACATTTCTTTTACTTCGGATAAAGGCTTTTGAAATAGATCCATTTTATAACTAAGTTGTAGCCTTTTCAATATTTTATGTTCAGTTGAAATTTAAAGCCATATGCCAGAAGTGAACCTTGAGTGGTCTTTTCCCTAAGGTGTTTTGCTGTATTTGTTGTGTACTTAAATGAATATCTTTAAATGGCATATATTGCTTTTCTGGCATTTCCGTTGAAAAATTTACAATTTACCTAGAAACTAAGGTTTCATCTTCCGCAGACAATCTTACCTAAGATAGTTTTTGCTATCTATTAAATGTCCTTTTTTATCTTTACGTATTTATACATCATCGGTTCTCCATAATGTGGTTTTGAGCTTTCCTGATGAATATGATTTCAGAAAAGCGCCTGAGATACAACTTATTAATTTATATATTTTCTAAATTATTGATAATTCTTATGAGTGCAACTACATTTGTTGATCCATCTGACGCACCTGAATTTATCCACCAGTGTGTGTTACTAGCTAATCAGTCATTAATTTTCCTACATTATTTTGATGACTGTTGTGTTTATTTGTGTTTGCTTTCGTTATGGTGAATAAAATCAGATTCAAGTAAAATTTGAAGAAACACAATTAGTCCTGGTTACTTCTTACGGTATTTTCCGTGCCGAAAAAGAAATCTATTACCAAAACAAATAAAAATTTCACAATATGTTTATGCACATAAACCAGAGGTAGCAGTAGTTAACTGATGCTCTAACCTCGTGCATTCATTTGCAATATACCAACCAATTCAAACACCAGTTACACAACTGTGTACATTTTCATTTGAACTACATTATACAATATAGATCTAGAGTTTCAGTAAAAAAAGGTATTGCACTCCAAAACAAATTCAAAAAAGGGAAGTCCATAAAAACTGACAAAATCAAACGCTATTAACCAACGGAACAAGTAGAAAGCAACTGCCATCTTCCTGACTTTGTACAGGCATTTTACGAGGAAAATGATGGGTTTAACCAGCTTTTTTCCCGCTTATATAACAGTTGTTTATAGTTCCGTTTTACTGACACAATTGGATGAGCAACTCATGCAGACATTATAGGTTAATGGGACAATAACTGGGATCGAGCAGCCAAAACTGTGTAAACATACATCATCTTTGATATTTCCTTAATACCAGTATTATTTTAAATCTAGACCTTCTTGTCGCTCAGAGAGAATATAGCGTGCATGTATGTTTACAAGCAATTAGAAAATGTTAATGCAAATATAATTAGTAGGTACTTAACAGATACAGACCTTAGCTACATCATCAAACATTTCGTTGAATGTAAGATCTGATACAGAACAATTATCTATATGCGCTAACTTGTTTCTGTAAAATTTAATTGTAGATATCGCCGTTCCTACACTGAAGTCAATGTTATAGTCTACCCGCGGTTGACGGTCATAGACATCGATGGCTGCCAGATTTCTTAGTAGGCATATCATTAATGTAATATCAAGGTTTGAAGACTGAAGTTCTAATCCTTCTGAAAAAAAGTATACAAGGCTATTTCAACATGAGATCTTCAATAAATGATTTTAGATTACACATTTCTGAATAATGTGTGTTCATTCTAATTTTACTTTTCTAAGATTTATTACTTGAAAAGATACTCTACGGAACCAATTTGCAGTTACATTAATACAAATAAGAACTTTAAAAGTGCTTCCGAAACACTTTTTCTAGATTTACCTTCATGGGGAACGCTGAAAGCAAAATAATCGAAAGTCCACAATGCATTAGTACTTTAATACATGAGTAGCTATATGACCAAAAAGGAAACAAAAAGAAAATCCAAATCCATCTAAGATAAAATTTGTCTGATGGTGCTGAAATCTTAGGTTCTTAATAATTTCTAAATGTATAAGTAATCAATATCTCGACCAAAATATTGTCGGAAAAAAAAACACTAGTGTTTATCAATTTTTTGCAAGTCTTCTCATATAATGATAACCAACAAACTCGAATTGCATCGATTCAAACAATGTTTAATCTTCACAAGACATTTATATCGCGACATTTAAAATTTAAACAATAAACAAGAATTTGGTGGATTACTGATTACTGGCATGAAGTTATAATTTTTAAATAATAATTTAACAATAATTAATCCAAAGAACAGTATTTGAAGACGAAAATAATTTGAAGTTTAAAGATATCGGATATACCAAAGGGGTAAAGAAAAAAAATAAGTTCAACTGACAACCCCATGAAAAAAAATCCGAAGAATAGACAAACAATAGTACACAAAACACCACACTGAAGACTGAGCAGCTAGAACCCTATCAAAAAAATTATAACAAAAAACTCCAAGGCAAATTAAAAAAGGGAAGTCCATAAATACTGAAAAAAAAAAACCTCTATCAATAAACGGAATAAGTGAAAAACAACTGCCTTATTCTTGACTTGTTACAGGCATTTTCCGAAGATAATGGTGGGTTAAACCTGGTTTTATAGCTAACTCATTTTTCCAAATAGGTTAATGTGACAATAATTTTGATCCAGCAGACAAAACTGTGTAAATATACATCACAGACATATAACACAACTGACTAAAAAATTCAAACAAACATTCAAGTTAATCTTACAAACTCGGATGAACTCAACCTCTCCAGACGGATAAGCCGTTCCTTCTTTACTAATGGCACCTATCGTGTTACTCATTTCAAGTTTAGCTCTGTAATAATTTGCATTAATAGATTTTACAATCTCTGAAAATATTTACAATCTCTGAAAATATGTCAGAATATGGTTTGGTGAGGCTAAATGATTTATAACATATTACAATTATCGGTTCATTTGTTGTTATCTTAATTTTCATAGAACTCAAGTTCAAACATTCTGATGTAAACTACTTTTGGCTACTTTTTGATTAAGATTGAAATTAATGTAATAATTTTGACTTGTAAAACTTTTGACTCTTGTCGTTTATTTTGAAGTCAAATTGAAAATTGGGTGTGTTGATATTGACCTACTTGCACATAATTATTTAATCTGATAATACCTTAAAACTGAAAGCATTTGCTTATTTACTGGTTAACTACTGATCCAAAAACCTTTTCCCCCTCCCATGTTATGTCACTAACAATGTGACCACTAATAATGCCTAATCGGCAGTAACATCACGGGAATAACTAGTTAAGAATGAATTGCTGTCCCTTCCGGATCACCTGAGTTTCCCCTTTTCATTATTGGGTTTGGCGATGCTCAATCTATAGTATTCCATGTATTCAGTATAGTTTATTATTTTTTGGCTTCCAGATATAGTGTGTGATCTGTCATTTGCAAAACAAAACAACTTTCGACTGTTTATGTTTTCAATTATTCCTGAGCAGCTGAATCCGTAGTTCTCAGAAGTAAAACACATTTTTTTCTCCTTTCAATACTGTAATTATAGTTAAACTTGTTTATATTCGTTTCAATCTGTTATACTGATTTGTATATATTTTTCTGTTGATCGAATTTACATTATATTGAAAAAATACATACTTGGTGGAAAAAGAGAATCCCATTGAGGTCCACTAATCGTTTTCTTCTTCTTTAGATTAAAAAGTATATCCCAGTTCTTTTTCTTGGAGATTTCTTTTTGTAGCGTTTCTGGGCAAAATTCTTGGTCGAAGATAAATTTAACAGCCGAAAAAGATAATTTAAACAAAAGAAGGGAAAGCCTCAGAAAGTTTTTCTCCTCCTTTGAAGCCAAAGGCTTAGATGCTGCTGTCATTCTGTAAAAAAAGGAAATAAAAAAATTTCTAAAACGTGTATCTTTTGTAAACAGTATGAATAAAAGCTAAAAACTTTACGATGTCATAACTTTATTTTCTTGACTGTGAGGAATGTATAGTATCTTGTTCGTAAAAGTGTTCTCCTGTGTCATTAACCCTGCAACCATTTTCTGTCGAGGGGAATTTTGCTATTTACAGGAAATATTAAAATAATAGCAATAAGTGCTGCATTATATTTATTTTTTTTTCATATACAATGTAAAACTGTGACAATTAGAACACAAACAGAAACACACACTTTAGAACCTGGTCAAAATATTTTCACCAAAATTTGGAATAGGATCTCATATAGTAAAAAGTAAAATAACAAAAATACCGAACTCCAAGGAAAATTCAAAACGGAAAGTCCCTTATCAAATGGCAAAAAGCAAAAGCTCAAACACATCAAAACAACTGTCATATTCCTGACTTGGTACAGGCATTTCCTTCTGTAGAAAATGGTAAATATAGGCCACCTTTCATTTTAATGATATTTTTTGTCTTTATATGGTCCCTGATTAATGGTAATGGTGCCTTTTTGTTTTTGTATGTAGTTTTCGTTGTTCTATAACGCAGGGTGTTTCTCATATACAATCGTCTTAACGTTGTTCAAAAGCCCAGTAAAAACAAACAATCAACAGACGAAACTCATAATTATTGCACACTGAATGAAGGTGACAGTAGATTACCGATGTTCATATCACGTAAATCGATTGAGAAGAGAAAAATAAAAGTAACAAGCACAAAATGAGGGAGACCGAGTGCGTCAACAGTGTAAGCGTCTTCTGCTATGCATGCGTCGACAGTGTAAGCGTCTCTTGCTATGTAAGCGTCTTATGCTATGCATGCATTTGCCGCCATGCGAATCCACACTCAGTCAAAATATTACAATTGGGAAAAGGTCACAATCGTTCAAATACAAATCAGACGGCTATACTGGTATCAAAAGACCGGTAAAACTTGTCGCTAGTGAGTTGAGACACCAACGCATCATATCGGACAACCAATTCGTGATGGTTACCGCAATACTTTTGAAGCGTTGATTTCAGTCGTTCATCCTTATAACTCTTTTAGAACAGTTTTTGTGTAAGGGTCAAATCCCTTTAAACGACGCCCGAATAGTGTGAACATGCACGTGCGTAACTTATTAACTGAGATATGTAAAAACACTACGACGGAATAGGGGTATATATATATATATATATATATATATATATCATTATTGATAAATGGGAAGTTGACAATTGGAAAACTGAAGTAATCACGATTGTCAAAGATGATAGATTAAAGTCGTCCATCTGTATCAATATCGAGGGAAAAGGTCAAGATATGAAGCAGACATCTTACATAAAATCGATATGATACTGAGTTTGTGTCACTGTTTTTTGCCTGTTAATCCCAAAGAATCATCTGCGTAATAAATGCAGCAAGTCATTTAAACAATGTTTTCCTGGTGACTTTTTTGTTTTATTTATTAATTAATTGTTTATGTAACTGTACATAACTGATATTTAAATCCATTGTTGCAGAGTTAACCAAAAACGATTTCGGCATCTTTTAGGCCATTCTGGCTTTTAATTATGTATATATTTGGATATCCATCCTTTTGGTTTCGAACGTATTTGATGAATTTACCTGATCCCAAAATCATTTTCATGAATTTTACCTTCATGTATTGATTTGGAGATACGTAAATCCTATGTTATTTCAACCTGCATACATGATATACGGATATTTTTAGATTGAAATTTCCCTCATGCACAACTCTGATTCCTTGACCATATTTGGCTATATCTCTTTGGTTATACCAGCTCATAAACGTTTTTATTTAATATTTAGGCCTCGAGCATCACTGAAATGACCTTTAAACATGTTTAACCCCGCCGCATTTTTGCGCCTGTCCCAAGTCAGGAGCCTCTGGCCTTTGTTAGTCTTGTATCATTTTTGATTTTAGTTTCCTGTGTATAATTTGGAGTTTAGTATGACGTCCATTATCACTGAACTAGTATACATATTTGTTAAGGGGCCAGCTGAAGGACGCCTCCGGGTGCGGGAGTTTCTCGGTGCATAGAAGACCCATTGGTGGCCTTCGGCTGTTGTCTGCTTTATGGTCGGGTTGTTGTCTCTTTGGGATTAATTGTCGAAATGCTCATCTGGTGCAGTAAAATTGGTACCGTTAATGTTATCATTGTTTGTATTATCCGGTGTTTTTGTTTCTTTTATAAACTGTTTCTCTTCTATAAGTATTATAGTATTATATTCACTGAACGATATAACTGCTTATTAATGGTTTGCTCATGTAGCTTCTGTTTCTGTTTTTAAGGTGAATATGAAGTGATACTAAAGTATCTTAAACGAAACAAACTACAGAGTTGTCTGCAAATACTCGTAACTCGTCATTTCTTCCATTATTTCTACAGTTGTTTTGTCATTATTATTTAGTTATTTTCATTGCAGTAAATACTTTGAGTGTTTTGCACCTTGTGCTTCACTGCATTGTGTGAGAGCTAAAGAAGAGGTATAAGCATTCAAACACATGTTTGCGCAACAAAATTAATTTTCATGTTTAAAGCTATGAAGCTACATTCCCGTAGTTTTCATTGTCCTTGTGTAATATTGTTAAAGAATATATATTAAAAATATTTAAATGGTTTGCCAATCAAAGTCATATAGTTGTACTTATATATGAATACTCAGTCATAAGATAGACCTTTGACCGAATAGATCCGAAATTTAATTTACTTTAACACGGCTTCTAGTTATCTCTCTTCATAATTTCCTTGTGACATTTAACAACCTATCTGAGACATGACCCTTTGCTAAATGTTGACAGCAATTGTTCGTGTATTAAAGATGATTGACAAATATAATTATTCTTATATAATCATTTTTTTCTGTGCGTCAAGAACCGTATACGCACATTTGTAAATAAACAAACGCTTTTGTAACTATAAATCTAACATCAGTAGTAGCCAACCCAAGTATTTCTTTTTATAGAACAAAGGAACAATTCTATAAAGCCTTCCTTGATTATTTATTATTAATTACAACAATGTACAAAAGCTTTAAATTTCAATGAAATCATATCTATATATTTCAGACAACAAAGAAATGGGACACATGTATTCTATAAATATAACATATATACGTAATAACCTATTCATATGCTTTAGCGAGTATTGATTTAAATTTATTTATAGCTCGACAAAAACATTGAAAACAAGGAAAAAATATCTGTTTTACAACTTTTCTCTGTGAGAATTTCACTTAAGGCATTCTTATAATAAATGTTGACTTACCTATATTAGCATTCATCAGGATTTGCATTTCCGCACTTATGCAAAGAATCACGCAAAGAATCATGAATATTAGATTTTTTCAATGAACAGCAATGCAGATAACACAGCGGCCTTATATGATCTTATATCAATTTAGTGTCTTTCTAAAACTCACGTTGTGCTTATTTACGTAATGAGGTACTTAATACTGCTTTGACTAAATCATTTACAAATATTGGACGATATCTCATTAATTTCGACATCCACGTCTTACATGATTATTTACTTTCGTTTTGAGAAATATAATCTACTGTTGCATAATTTATACGCGTGGAGATACACTCATTGATGATTGATTAGTGCTCGTTTAACGCCAAGTGGCGGATATTTCATTCATTGACAAATTCAGGACCAGAAAATAAAGTAACAAAATAGGGATGGATAATTTATCTTGCAACCTATCCTTTAAGAGTTGTTGGAATGATTGTTTTACATGCATGTAAAGAGCAGCCAAGACAAGGCATCAGATTTAATGTCCCCATATCTGCCGTATACATCACTGGGGTAAATGTAATATCCGTAACTGCAGTTACGTATATCCAAAGATGGCTGACAATGTTTCTGGTCAATATTTCTTTGGTCAATTCTGTTATAATTATGTATTATTCTTCGGTATTTTGTGTCTTTTTTAACGTATTATCAAATTTTAAACTGAAATACTAAGTGGTTTGTCATAGAACAACCGCTAAATAGCGAAAACTGCCGTCCAAAATATCGCGATGATATTATGGGTAACTGAAGTAAATAAATTGTCCATGATATACGTAACTGGAAATATTGATGTCCGTAACTGATTTTATTTCTAAACAATTCATTCGTGTTTGAAATGAAATAAATGTCTCCGGTTATCAAAATTGTAATAAATCGGAATCTAAGTTGTTCTTGGAAGTCTTTACAAATACTATGTGAAAATATATTGTTCAGGCTACCAATTCTGTATTCTATATAGTCAGCAGCATGCATATATATATATAGTGAGCTAGAGGAAGGAAATTGGGTAGCTTTATTGCAGATGAAATATAGGTGGCAATCAAGAAATACACATCGCTTATAACGAAAAAAAGTAAATAACAAAAATAACAAGTAAAACTGAAAACGGACAGTCCTTTAGCAAATGGCAAAATCGAAATCTCAAACACATCAAACGAATTGATAACAACTGTCATATTCTTGACCTGGTACAATCATTTCCTTATGTAGAAAATTGTAGATTAAACCTGGTTTTATCGCTAGCTAAGCCTCTCACTTGTATGACAGTCGCATAGAATTTCATTATATTAACAACTGGGCATATAGACACACTTTATAGATAAAGTTCATATGCGAAAATTAAAGGCAAGAGTACAAATTGACCATAGCCCTGGGGGAAACCCTAGCCAAAGTAGGGCGTCCGTTTGACTGTGTGGGATTTATCAAGTACGCACCACGGCCGGTCAGAATGGGGACGTTAAATCCGATGCCTCGTGTAGAGAGAGTGCCATGCTCTTTGCACGTTAAGAACCCTTAACTTGCAACAACTCTTTGAGCGGTCCATAGGTGGACTGTGGCAAGGCCAAATTTCAGTCCCTATCCAATTTATCATCATTTTCTCGTGGCATTCCAAATTGCCCTGACCTTCTTCCCGGACGGTCTCTGTTGTAATCTTTGGCTATCTATTGTATCTTTTTTTTAACTTGTTCTCGTCCTGAACATATATAAAAAAAGAAGATGTGATATGAATGCCAATGAGACAACTCTCCACAAGAGACCAAATGACACATAAATTAACAATTATAGGTCACCGTACTGTAATGTCTCTACTAGACGATTATTCTGGATTAAACCAAAGGCATGTAAATATACAGAACACCATTGAAGGTACCATCTTTAATCAACAACACATCCGGTCTTCTACATATTATATTACAGATAAGCCTTTAGATGCACAGCATCATATCAATGTAAAGCTAGATAACTCTAGATACTTATAGAACGATACTACAATCCCTTCCTTTTTTCTATTTTTTTATATTAAAGTGAATTAATCTTTTTAAACTAAACTAAACTGAAATAAGATTCTATTAGCTATTAATCAAATTAAAAAATTCTAAATACTTAAAAAAATCTAAATACTTATTATCCCTGTAAAACTTTACTTATTAATTTTCTCGGGTTCTTATTGAAAATTAAATGAAAATTAAAAAAATATAAATCAAAATGTATATTTGTTTCTTTCAAATACTAATGTTCAATAAAATCAAATTGAAAATTCTTTACAAGTCTATTTTAATCAGTTCATAATGTAATCTTTCAGTCTTGCTGGTAATTGGCGATTTCTCTTCGGTCGCACGCGGCTAATTGCGGTTTCTACATCATCAATCTTGTTATCGTTATCAGCATGACATACATCTGGTGTTTCCTCGGACACTATTTCGTTTGAGATAATTACATTTTCACATTGATTTTGATTACTTGTATTGACATTCTCACTTAGATTATTATCTAACATATTTTCGTTTGGCATATTTTGTTGCTCAAATTTTTTCACATGTGTGACATTGCGGCGGTATTTAACTCCTTGATCTGATTGAACTAATATACACTATTACCAATTTTCTCTAATAAAAGTAACGGCTTATGATGAAATGTAGTGAATAATTTATTTTCTTTGTTCTGTTTAACGAGAACTTTATCTCCCGGTTGTAACTCACTTTTAACTGCTTTTCGCTTTTCATCAGCGTACATTTTCCCCTTTTCCTTTCGTTCACGGTCCTTATCTCTGACTTCTATATCTTCTTTAGAATGTCCAAGTTCGGGTAGTTTTGTTTTTATTTGACGCCCAAATAATAATTCGGCTGGACTGGCTCCAGTTGTTGAATGTGTCGTTGCACGATACATAAACAAATACTTCTGAAGTTCTTCTTTCCAGTTCTTATTTTCAGCGTGTGCAATCTGAAGTCGTTTCAGAAAAGATCTATTTTGTCGCTCGATTTCTCCATTGGCTTGCGGCCATAACGGTGTAATTCGACGGTGTGTTATGCCATTCTGTTCACAATACTGTTTAAAATATTGGCTAATAAATTGTGGTCCATTGTCAGTCTTAATGGATATTGGCAATCCGTGAGTTATAAACATTTTATCCAATGCTTCAACAGTTTTCTCGGCATTTGTTGACTTCATAACAGCAATTTCTGTCCACCGTGAATAATAATCCACAACGCAAAACAATAAATCTCCTGATGGAAGTGGTCCAAGAAAATCTGCTGCTAAGTGTTCCCACGGTCGCGACGGTAACGCAGACCTTTGCATAGGTTCAGGCCTTTCTGGTTTAGATACTAATTGACATCCATAACATTGTCTACACCACTGTTCAATGTCAAGGTCTATGTTAGGCCACCATACTTTTGTTCTGAGTCTCTGTTTCATAATTACAATGCCGGGATGACCTTCATGAGCAAGTTGTAAGATTCGTTCGCGAAGTTTGCTGGGTACAACAATTCTTGTTCCTCGGATTATCAAATTTCCTAAAGCACAAAGCTCCGATTTAACTGTCAAATACTGTTTGTATTTTAACTCATACCATCGACCAGTTCGTAAACATGTCCTTATTTCGTTAAATTCGTCGTCATTTTCGGAACTCTCTTCGATTTCGCGAATGTTCATAGCTACGGGAGTGGCTTCGTCCACTATCATACGTAAATATTCCTCCGTTTTATTGTATTCGGGTTTCTGCTCGTTTGTAGATAATAAACGGGACAGCGAATCTGCAATGTTTTTCGCTCCTGGTATATGTTTAACAACATAATGATATGTTTGCATACGTAAAACCCAACGTTCCACTCTAGCACAAGGCTTCGATTTCGGCGAAAAAATGAATTCGAGCGGCTTGTGGTCAGTTAATAGCTGAAATTCTTTCCCAAATAGATATACGTGAAAACGTTCACAAGCCCACACTAAACCAAGAGCCTCCTTCTCCGTTTGCGAATATCTCCTTTCAATTTCGGACAGCGAACGGCTCGCGTAGCATATAATCTTATGAGAATCTCCTTGTTTCTGAACTAATACGGCGCCTAACCCTACTGGACTTGCATCAGCTATAAATTGCGTATCTGCATTTATGTCGAAGTATGCCAAATTCGTATTGTTCGCTAAACACTGTTTTAGATTTTCAAGTGCATCATCCTGTTCCGGTCCCCAATTAAATGACTTATTTTTCTTCATAAGACGGTTTAGCGGCTCAGCTATAGTGGCTAAGTTTGGAATAAATCTCCCGGTAAAATTTACAAGTCCCATAAAACTTTTTACTTCCGTAACTGTTTTTGGTTTTCTGGCTTCCTTAACTGCCTGTACTTTACTTTCAGAAACACCAATTCCGTGTTCCGAAAGAATGTGTCCCATGAATTCTATACGTTCCATGTTAAACTGACACTTTTCGATGTTTAAAGTTAGTCCTTTTTCTTCCAAACGGCACAATAACTGCTCCAAATTATGATCATGTTCTTCGTCGGATTTTCCACGTACAATTATGTCATCGTAAATGCTATTTACACCTGATAATCCACCTAAAGCCTGATGAATAATCTTGTTATACATTTCTGGTGCACAACTGATGCCGAACATCAAACGTTTATACCTGAATAGTCCTTGGTGTGTCATAAACGCTGTAATGTCCCTTGAATCTTGTGACAGCTCGATTTGATGAAATGCCCACTTAATATCCAATTTACTGTATACTTTGCTTTGATTGAGATCTTGTAATATTTCCTCAACGGTAGGTATTGGATACCTTTCACGGACTACGGCCTCGTTTGCTCTGCGCATATCAATACATAGGCGTATTTCGGAGTTTTTCTTGGGTATAACTACGACAGGCGACACCCATGTACTCGGTCCATCAACTTTCTCAATAATGTCGAATCTTTGTAATTCTTCAAGCTTTTGATCAAGTTTCTCCCTAAGATGAAACGGTACTCTACGAATCGGCTGAATAACTGGTTTCACGGATTCATCAATCGGTATTTTCAGTTGAAATTTCTTTAACTTTCCGATGCCTTCAAAAAGTTTCGGAAACTTCTGCTGTATGATTGCTTTCCTATCGGAATTAACTGAATTAACACTTTCCGGCGGACTCTGAATTTTTAATATTCCCAAAGATATTGCAGTTGTTTTACCTAACAACGCTTGACCTTTTTCTTCAACTACAAAGAATTCTGCATCAACATTTTTATCTCCAACAGATACACTAGTGATAAAACTTCCTGCAACATTTAACGGTTGTGTATTCCCAAAGGCATAAATCTTCTTATCACTTAATCTTGACTCACACTTAATATCAGACATGTTAGACTTCTTCAAAAATTCCCACATGTGCCTGTCAATAACATTGACCGACGCTCCTGAATTTATAATTATTGGCATTATAACTCCTCCCACTTTTATCTTGAAATCTGTATTATTGGCAGTTCCGCTGTTTACTGTAAATACATACGGATCTTGATAGTCACTCTCTGTTTCTACATTTCTTACAGTTTCACGTCTCGGGTTAAAATTTCTGTTCTGTTTTGTTTTGCAACACTTTTCGAAATGTCCCTCTTTCTTACATTTTCTACATTTCTTTCCCCTCGCTGGACATTTTGCGTCTGTTTTAATGTGTCCTTCGTGACCGCATGCAAAACAACGTCTTTGTTTGAAATCTACTTGGCTTTGTGTCTTAAATTTCGAATGTTTATCAAATCTATCATGTCTATGTTGACTTACTTTGTTTATTTGTTCCTTTTGTTCCATTGAGACGGCTCTCTGTTCGGACGCTTCTAATGATTGAGCAATTTCCCTTAGTTGCGCTAAAGTCACATTGTTACGCTCCAACAATTTTCTTCTTAAACGTTGAGAATAACCTTTTTCTATAACTTGATCCCGAATGATTTCGTCAATGTTATGAAAGTCACAAAACACAGCTTTCTGTCTCAAACGTGTTATATATTGTTCTACTGTTTCACTTGAAGTTTGCATCATTGCTCGGAATTGTGAACGTTCAAATGCTGAATTTACTTGCGGTGTAAAATGCGCGTCTAATGCTGTGACTGTTGCATCATAAACAGTTTCTCCCTCTCCTGGATCAGCAATAACAAGAGTAAAATAAATATCTTGCACAGAAATTCCGGCAGTATGTAAAAGTAAGGCTTTCTTTTGTTCCGCCTCGACCACACCTTTTCCAACAGCAAAAAGTTCAAAACCACGCTTCCATCTGTTCCATCTTGGTCCAATTGAATTTATTTCCCCATTTGCATCAAATTTTGGAATCCCTCCAACATCTGTCAATACCGGCCTAGCTTCTGCCATATCCTCGTCGCCAGTTGTAATGTCTCTACTAGACGATTATTCTGGATTAAACCAAAGGCATGTAAATATACAGAACTCCCATCCTCGTCGCCAGTTGTAATGTCTCTACTAGACGATTATTCTGTATTAAACCAAAGGCATGTAAATATACAGAACACCATTGAAGGTACCATCTTTAATCAACAACACATCCGGTCTTCTACATATTATATTACAGATAAGCCTTTAGATGCACAGCATCATATCAATGTAAAGCTAGATAACTCTAGATACTTATAGAACGATACTACACGTACGACCTTCAGTAGTGACCAAAGCCCATATCGCATAGTCAGCTCTAAAAGGCCCCGAAATGACAAATGTAACACAATTCAAACGAGAAAACTAACGGCCTTATTTATGTACAAAAAATTAACGAAAAACGAATAATTATGTAATACAGCAACAAATCACAACCACTGAAATGCAGGCTCCTGACTTGCCATGCATGGGACAGGCAAATACAGAATGTGGCGGGGTATAACATGTTAGTGGGCGCCCCCTAACCTGGGACAGTGGTGTAACATTACAACATAAGAACAGACTATAAAAATCAGTTGAAAAGGCTTAACTCATCAGGTGGATACAAATAAAAATAAATCTTTCAAAAGCACAGAGTGGACGTGGGAGGGTACTTGTACATCCCACCCACCAAAAGACACAGATCTGAGAGTACTCGCAGTTACTGAAAGCTAGTCCAAAGCCAATAAAAACTAATAAACAAATTATGCATCTAAGACTAAATTATCAACATTACACATCCAACATCCAATGGAATTAGTGTAAAGACGTCATAAACAGTGGCAGTTTTCTAATGTTGTAATAATATTGTGGGCATACTTTTTTTCAATAATTTCTAATCTTTTAACGAATTTATGGCAGTTTTATTTCCGAAAAAATGTTCACCCGACACCCGATCTATTAAATCGAGGATAATGAATGAAGTAGAAACAACGTACAAAACTCAACAGTTACGGATATCCTTTTCTAAACGTTTATTACAGTTACGGATATCAGTCTATACAGTTACCCATATTCTCGCTTTTTTTTGGACGGCTGATTTCTCCATGTAGCGGTTGAACTATGACAAAAACCTTTGTATTTCAGTTTCAAACTTAGTATTACGTTAAAAAAGACACGAAATACCGAAGAATAATACAATATTATTACAGAATTGACAAAAGAAATAATGACCAGAAACATCGTCCGCCATCTTCGAATATACGTAACTGCAGTTACGGATATCACATTAACCCCAATGGTTTTATTACAAATAAAGCATGTATAATGTTTTTATTTCGTGCCGAAATGAGGTGCTTCTACATAGGACGTACATATATTCAACATAAGAAATTTCCGACACTTATCACTAGTGTCATTCCCCCATACCATATTAAACTCCTTACCACGCTCACCTGGAAAATTTATAGGCCTACATCATAACATGTAAGACTTGTAACATTCATTTTAGGTAAAACTAAAACTATAAGTGTTCGTCACTTGTGATTTTTCACTATATCTGTATCTGTATATTTTCTGCCAGTATAGGCACATCTTGACACTTCATTATGAATTTTCATATAAAAGTTAAAACTACGATTTTTGAAAAAATATTGTGGGGTCATTTTTTCTGCTCCGACTTTAATCATCTTGATACCAAGAAATATTACCCTGAGCAACGGTGTACCATATGAGGAAACAAAATAGTATATAGATCTATATAGAGACGAGTTGTGTCAATTTTGTCCTTAGGATCAGGATCAGCTTTCTCTTTAAACCCTATTTTATAGTTGGGTTAGGTAATGTTTACATCATGTATTTCAAATACATGTATATTTTTACCCACAGAAACCATTTCCTTAAATAGAATATTGCTGAACAGTGAGAAATCATATAAATAGATATCATTTATTTATATATACAAGGATTTGTATAGTGACACTATACAAATCCTTGATATATATATTTTCTAACCTGTTTTATAACTTAAGAAACATACTCTAAACATGCTAAATGGCTAATATTTTTGAAATGTCTATAATAAGACAGGGAAAATACTAAAACTGAACTTGTCTATTTTGTTGGGATAATTGATATATTATGATGATTTGTTAATAAAAAAGAGAATAAGGGTTTTTCACGGTTTTTAACTTTTAATTTTACTTGCCAATGGGACAAGTATACAGCAGCTTTTACTTGCCCAATGATGATTTTCACTTGTCCTGGGCAATCGGACACATACCTGCCAACTTTTCAAAATCTCCATAGGGGATTTTAAGCGCAAGAGGACCAACTGTTCCTCTTTCATTGTCATTAGTGTTTTTAATCTTCTACTATATTGTTTAAATGAGTATATATGTGCTTAAATACCCTTTTAACTCCTTTAAATAAATGTTTTGAGGTGTTCAGTTCATATAATAAAGAATTTCAAAATTCAGGTTATCACCTCTCATGGGGGATATCCCCCTTAAATCGGGATTAAGTTGGCAGGTCTGCGGACAGCCATTAATGTGGAACCCTGACTTGTGTATAGCAAGATTGAGCTCTTTTAGTCCAAACTGTGGATATACATGATATGCATTGTACTGAACCTGTCTTATTATTGCAGAACTCTTGTAGTGACAGTCAGAAGTAAATATTTTCCTTTTCTTTGCAGATAATCAGTGTAATAAGTTAATTTTCTAAGAAGAGAATGGAAACAGAAAATACAGGTAAAAAATAATAACTTTTTATTATTAACAATAATTTTCTAATCTCTCTTTATAAGACAAATATATATAAAAAGAGGTTACAAAAGGTATGGTAAATATTAATATCATTCAATTTTTCTCATAATTTTATTACCATGATTTAAAAGACATTCAAATAATTCCAAAGAACAAAATTTCAATTGGTGAACTTTTGAACATTAAGCAACCAATAATCAATAGATTGCACGAAATGCATTCAAGAGCAAAAACAGGATATGTTGCCGCCTTTATAAATTTCAATCCATGTTGAGAAACTGCTTAAAGTTTTACAGTGTTTTAACATTCTGCGGTCTTCGAAAGAGTTATCTCCCTTGAGTTTTGTATACCTGAAAAATAGAATAAAATAATTAAACTATACCTGAAAAATTAAATTATGATGAATCGGTCTTTGACCTGTCACTTTAACTTATTACAGTAACTTTAATTGTGTACGAACAGATGAATGGAAGGAGATACAGTGTAAGGAGAAAACATTAGGTCGACAGCAACTGAACAACCTACAGCATTTAAAAATTAATATCTAGAGGCCACAGAGCCATCTTCAACAGTGAGCAAGCACCCACATTATAGAGCAAGGTCCCACTTTCAAATCAACAGAAATTATCAAGATATTTAAAAACCATCTTAGAATATTACATGTTTAATTTTATTTAAATCAACCATGACAAAATATAAAAAAAAAACAACCATTGAAAAATGTATCGTGGGTACCAATTTTCATGGATTAACGTAAACTATAAAATTGAGAATGGAAATGGGGAATATGTCAAAGAGACAACAACCCGACCAAAGAGCAGACAACAGCAGAAGGCCACCAATGGGTCTTCAATGCAGCGAGAAAATCCCGCACCCGGAGGTGGTCCTCAGCTGGCCCCTAAATAAAATTGTGTACTAGTTCAGTGAAAATGGATGTCACACTAAACTACAAAACATATAAATGAACTAAAATTAAAAAAACATACAAGACTAACAAAGACCAGAGGCTCCTGATTTGGGACAGGCGCAAAAATGCAAAAAAATAACAGTTTTGTGGATATTTGATTTCATGGTTTTTCAAAAGTCTGTATTCATGCCTATAGAAAATTTGTAGTTCATTGAACATTTCGTTGTTCACCTGTACCTACGAAATCCACAAAAATTGTTATCCCACAAATAAAAATGAATCCACAGTAGCCTTTGTGTGAACTGAATTATGTTGTGTAATGAATTGACAACACTTTTACTAGCAGGTGAGCCACTTGAAAAGAAACGGAAGACAGATGGAGAAGGTTCAACTCCAAAAGTTAAGTGTGAGCCACCTGAGAAAAAATTGAAGACAGATGAAGAAGGTTCACCTCTAAAAGTAAAGTGTGAGCCACCTGAAAATAAATTAAAGACAGATGGAGAAGGTTTGCCTCCAAAAGTGAAGTGCGAGTCACCTGAAAATAAATTAAAGACAGATGGAGAAGGTTCACTTCCAAAAGTGAAATGTGAGCCACCTGAAAAGAAATTGAAGACAGATGGAGAAGGTTCACCTCCAAAAGTGGGGTAAAGTATCTCAACATAATAAAATACACATACATACATGACATGTACATATGTAATTTGATTCAGTTAAAACTAACTCTTGGTAGTGTTGAATAAAATAGGATTAATGATTTTGATTTGTTTCAGTCTTCACGATTGGCCACAGTCACAAGCCCAGGCTTCTAAAGTCTCTATCATGGCTTGTAAAATTTCTGCTACAGGCCAATAAAATCATGAAAGTAATTATTAGAAAAGGATTGCAGGCTCTGTGTCTTCAAAAGTTCGCCTCAATGACTGTTGTTTACCTATTATGTATAAGATATGTTGAATAGAAATATATATATATATATACCGGTATATCAGAGTGAATCTTCAACAATCACCAGAATTCAATTTAGATTACCCCTATCAGGAGTTATTCTTTTAAAATGTAATAGCCTTGCATTTACTGTGTATATCCGCCATGTACCCTTTTCCCCTTCAAAAGTCACGAGGCTTAATAAATGTTTCAATGAAGAAAAATAATGAAATAGTTTGTCTTAATCTCCTGAATTAAAGCATGTTGAGTGGATGGTCTCTTTCTTCATGTCCTTCAGGTAATATATTTTATAATTTGAGGGAAAATTGTATTTTCCTTGATAATTTATATCATGGTTTTACCAAAGTCTGATTTTAAGCTTATACAGAAAATTGGTACTTCTTCGTTTACAAATAACCATGATTTCCACAAAAATTGGAATCCCATAACTAATGACACAAAAACTAAAATGTATTGATCATGAGATGTCCAGAAACATTCAGTAGAAATTGATTATACCATTTATGTAAAACACTTTTAAAATACTCAACTATACATCCTTTTGTCTTTAATAATCAATTGAATAAGAAAAGGTTTGAGGAAGAAAAGAACAAAAAAAGGTCTAAAACATCCAGAGTCTATAAAGGAAGTTGTGGATGAATTTCAATGAGACTTTAAAGACATGCCACAAGCCAACAGTGAAAACCAAATTTCTCAATAGTCAAAGCAAATTAAGATATAATCATTAACAATAAAAGACAACCTTTAACATGTTTAACCAGGTTCATATATTTATTTATCAGTTTTCCAAAATTTTAGGAATACTATTCCATGCCTGCTATAATTGTATAATTATGTCTATTTTTATAGAGCAACAGAAAATACAGCAGAGGAAAATGAGGCTTCTTCTGATCTATATCAGTACACACGGAGAGAAGAATTTACATCAGAGATTTTTAAAATAGAAATCACCAATCTACCGAGATTTGGTTTTAAGGTAATTCTGAGTTTAAAAAACACATTTAAGAGAGACAACTCAGTATGAATCAACAAAATTCCTTAATAGCATTGTGAAATTATAACATTTTATTAGTCCCCTACTGACGAAGTTGAAGGGGACTTTAGGTTTGCACTCTGTCCGTATGCCTGTCTGTCTTCTGTCTGTCTGTCCATCCATCAGTACGGCAAATCAGTTTTCCACACTATTTTTCTTCATGCTTGAAGATATTGATTTGATATTTGGTATATTGTTTCATCACGACAAGTTACAGATCAAGTTCAAATTTTTGTTCCTGTCTGATGATTTTGTGCAGAGTTAAGGTCCTTGGACTTAGAAAATTCACTCAAATAATCAGTTTTCAACACTCTTTGTCATCATGTTTGAAGATATTGACTTGATATTTGTTTTATAGTTTACACCATGACAAGTAATAGATAACGTTAGCATATTGTTCCAGTAAACAATTAATTTTTAACTGGTAGGGGACTATGTATTGCCATGCAATTCTCTCAGAATGCTTGTTTTCACAGAATACACTTTTCAGAGCAGACAACATCTCATATTTTTACTATTGAATATTTTTATGGACTGTTAGTGGCTCAAATTTGGTTAAATTTAAAAACAAATTCTGTTGGTATAGTAACATGTATATATTTTTCTCAAATGAAGTTGAGGAAAATTGATAAGAGAAAATATAATTTAAACTGCTTGGTTTTAAACCAAAAATGTTCTGATAACATAACTGATATGATCATGACATGCTAGAAGAATTATATTATTTGGTCTCTTTACAACAAAGAAAATGGTTTACCTATTTATGAATTAACAGGGTTTGAAATTAGCAGGGGCCCACTTGCCAATGGCCCCTAAAATTTGGTGTGGGCTACTTGAATTTCTGCTTTTCTTGTATATGACTATATATGTGGGCTGCAAAATTTAAGCTATGGGCTATAGCTACCATGCCAAAATTTTAACTTCAGTCCCTGATTAATGTCTTGAAGGTACACTTTTATATTTAAATAAAAGTTTTTTAAGAACACTACAGGGAGATAACTCTGAAAAAAATCAGCAGAACGTTTTAATCATGTTCTATTGTTAAGGAAATATTGAACAAAACTAGTGTTTGTCAAACTGCTATTTATCCATTTTTAAGAATTTTTTATAATTTTGTCAAAAGGTCAAATTGAATATTTTGTCAAAATTTTATGAAAATCAATCGAGCCAAATTTGTTTTAGACAAGGTGTTTGGTACCACCTTAAATGTAGAGATTCAATAACTATTCAATATTTTTAGGGCTATATAAGCCTATGGTTTGAACATAAGTCAATAAATGAACTTAAAGGGGGGGGGGGGGAATCTCAGTTACTTAAAGTCTGGGAAAAGTGTCTTGTCAGATGAACTTTTTTTTGCATTAATTTATTTTACCTTTGAAAAAATAGTCTGTATGATATCATCATTTTATAGTTTATTATTTTTACTTAGCTATGGAAATACATTCAACAATGAATGAGAATACATCTATTTTGAGGTAAACTATATTTTAACTTCAAAATTCAATATTTTTTTAAAGTTATAACGTTTTTGAGCTTCTCATGGTATGCAAAACCATTGTTATTGGTGTACAAATTATGTTATTAGGAATTTGGATTTAATTAACTCAATTTAAGCATTTCCCCCTTTTTTCAGCAATTGAAGAAAAGACTGAATGGACTAGATGTGAAACCAGTTAAAGTGAAGGCTGTAGACACACATACATTTGCATTTGCCACATTTAGGTATGTAACCGTTATAGACTGTAAAATATTTACTTTTATGGCAGCGTTAACTCAGGTCATGGTTACATTTTAACAAAACTGTTGCCAACACCAACACAGTTTTTGTTCTCAATCAGGCTATTTGTTGAACCATTTCAGTAAGATTTCCCGGGATTAAAAGAAACACATTTACCTTATGTTTGTTTTTGAACTTCTAGAACTGATACTTACTCAAAATTAGATAATTTGAATGACAGCTAGCTCTGACAATATACTGTGGATTCATTTTTGTTTTCGTGGATTTCGAAATTTTTTAATTTTCCTGAAAATTTGAATTCATGGTTATGTCAACTTCTTACATAAATTAATACTTTAATTATTTAAATATTGTAATATTGTAATGTAATATCAATTTACTCTTATTAGATATTCTCCCTGGATACCTAATAATAAATAACTAACATATCAGGGATACTTAGTGCAATGCTGTACACTGAGTAAATTGTTAACAGCAATAGTGTGCAATAAAATATATTAGTTACGTTAAAAAAAAAAAAAACTTCTTACAGACCTATTCAAATTGTCACTTGGTTGTATATTTGAATTCATTGTTTATTTCTACCCACGAAATCCACACAAAAACTGGTGTCCCATAAATAATAATGAACTGACAGTAGATAGTGACTTGCATGTGCTGATTGACTTAAGGATATCCTTTTGGGGGTATCTGACATCATTCTTAGTTACTTTTTAAATGATTATTTGGTCATTGATCTTTGAAAGTTAGAAGATGATTTCTCATATGCTTTTATAAAAGAGAAATAATTATTAAACCAAATCATTTACTTATTCTCTTATAAAGGATTTACTCAGGTCAGGTTTAGATATTTTTGTCAGATGTTTAGACTCCTTTGTTTTTTTTCTTACGATCATGACTATACAGGGTAAAATATTTTGCCCCATGACACCCATTTTTTCTTTCCATATAAGACTTCAATAGCTCATAAAAGGTCATGATCATTTACCAAAATTTAAGCAGATTCTAGATTTTTTTTTTTTTGATTTGAGACTCAAATAATACCAATGCAAATATGAGATAAAAGTCTGAGTCAGCCTTTTCTGTCCATTTAAAAAAAAATAAATATCTTGAAAAGGAGCTCCATAGCCTATCAACATTTTTAGCTTATTTTGTTCATTAACTAATGCTCTTATGACCTATAGTATCAATTTTAAATTCTAGGTTTTTGTAATTTCACTATAGTATATCCTTAAAAGGTATTTATTTGAAGTGTTCTTAGGACGGTATTGCAAGAATCATTTTTTACATGAGGTCAGTAGAGATGATTTTATATATATTTAAATATTTTCAGGAATGAAGAAGAAAGAGATGATGCAATACAGAAGATTAAAGGACATGTATGGAAAGACAGAACATTAGATGCCAAGGTTTGTGGTTTAAATCATGTTTTACCACCAATTACCTTGATTGACATATTTCCCCATCTTTATGCAGAAATTTGTTGTTTGAAGTTTGAAGATTACAGTCACATTCATTTTCAGCTACCGTAGAAAGGCTTGTATAGTCCGCGGTTTTATTCTCCAAAATTGGACCTTCCAGATGGGGTGCGGACTATAGAGTACAATAAGCAAGAAATAAGAGAAACATTTCAATTTCGTGGGCGAGGTGGTTTGTTTACGTTCCCCCATCTTTGTTATTTATATTGTAGAGGGCGCTCTTATCATTTTTCAAACTAATAATTTTAACTCATCCATATTAATAAGTTATTTCTATTCAATATCAAATTAATACTGATAAATATAAAAACTAAACCTTTCATTACAAATTTCTCGTTTCTTTTCAATGCATTGGTTGAAATAAACTGGTATCTGCATGATTGAAACGATACAAACATAGTGAAAAAGACAACCGTAAACCAGCTTAGAATTTGTAAACTACAAAACGTAATCGGTTATTGTTCGTTCAGTTTTGGTGTTTCATACTGACTAATATGGTTTGTATTAGCTTAAGACCCTTCAAGCATTAATGTGATAGATATATTAAAGACTGTTTTACAAAAGGATGGAACTGTTTTAGTCAAAGTCGTATTATAGTGATATCTGTTATGTACGGATTTCGACTCTCACCGGTTAATTTCTTCTTTTACACGTGCTTTTTAAACTTCCTGTTTAAACATACACAAGTTTCTAAATTGTTTTTTAAGTGAATTAAACTTATTTTAACAATCATGAAGCGTTCTAGAATCATTTACAAGCAATTTCAGCTTCTGTTTGATGATTGAAAACAGGTTTTTCCAAGAAAATACCGCAAACGACCGCACAGGATTTGAAATTACCGGAGTTTCATTAGACCTTTTCTAACAGTTACAAAAAGTTTTTTTACCTAAAATTTCGTGGGGAGAAGGGGGTGCAGACTATGTACCAGTGCGAACTATACAAGCCTTTCTACGGTATCATAAGTGTCAAATTGGTTAAAATAGTATTGTGATTCGTCAAAATATCTTTATCTTAATTGTCAGAGGTCTCAAATAATTATCTGTACTGTTATTTTTGGAAAACAATAACATGTTGTCAAAATCAGTCTTATTTTACAAAATATACATTTTATCGTCATGCATCAAAAATTACTGTTAAAGTCATTTGGCAAGCTTTTTTACCATTATTCATCATGAAGGTACTCCAATTAAGACCCTCATTATTGTAAGTAATGATTTAGATACTTTGCAGATGTAAATATTTCATTCATTGAGTTTAAAAATACCATTGAAACTTTTATATCTGCTGCATGACCTTTCTTCACTTGTTTACATGACAAGATTGAAAAAAGAAATGCCTTATTTATAAATGCATTGGCAGATTTTCTCTATTAAGAATGCCTGTCAATAACTATTTCATGTAGGAGCTCATGCATCGTAACTGTGAGAAGATCAGGCTAAAATGATATTATATATATTGTATTATGACAGTCTACCAAATAATTAACTTTCAATGACATTTTCAAATTTGTTGTATTCCTTGAATGAAGGGGATGTTGATTATTTTTAAACAAGACATAAACATTGATAAACAATACAGATCAAAAGTTAATTATGTCTTTTATGACAAGTTCAAGATTTTCACTATTTTGTTTTTATGTCTGAAATTATATTGAACACGATAAAGAACATTCAAAACTCATGTCCATTAAAGGCGCCTAATATCACATGGCAAAGTCCTATTGTTCAGAGGGGAATATGAAGTTTTGTTCAATGTCACATGGCATAGTCTTGACCAATCAAATGTTGATTTTGCTATGAATATTTATTTACATTGAAATAATATCTCTTGTATAAAATAAATTGGACTCACAAGCTCATGTAAAATAAATGTCTACTTGAGACAATATTCATGCAATAACTATTTATTATAATACCTTACATATATTACAAACAAATCTATTGGGTAATACGTTATCACGTGATATGGAATAATTCAGTTAATTTTCATTTAATTGCAAGGAAGGACGAATAACCCTTAAAATTTAAACCAGCGGTGAATAACCCTATTATTCACCGGCGTATAACCTTTTGAGTTTCTTGATTTATATACGAGCAACTTGTATCTCCCATGAAAATGATGTCACAGACGTAAATTAACAAAATGGCAACATTCATGTTAAAGGAAGCCCATTGAGAGACGAGAAAATAAGGCTTATGACATGCATTGAGTGCTGATGATATCTCTTATAAACGGTCCTTTTCAGGGCCATCAATATTTTACAAAAAGATTCTACCTTTGTTTTACATACGAGAAATTGTAAGGGTAAGTAAGACACGAATGTATTTTCAAAAGTCAACTTGTGTTTGTTACTAAAGTTTACTTTGTTTAAAGTAAGGTAAGTGCTTTTTCAATGATTCAAAAGGGCCTTCCACTGATATTTCCGTATAATAAAACAATTGAGGCCCCATAGAAGCGATGAATATCCAAAATTGTCAACCTTTAAAAATTATTTCACTTCGGGCTGCGCCCTCAGTAAAATAACCTTCTCGTGTTGACAATTTTGGATATTCAACTGGCCACAGTTGTATATTATTACATTACAATAACTGTTAACTTTTGGCTATGTAAAATATCCGTACAAAACTTGCATGATGACCATATTTTTTTAAGACATAAGATCAAATAAACAGTGTTGATTTTATTTAATATTTTTATTTTATAGCTAGCCAGTGCTGCAGCAGATCCATTCCAGAAGATAAGAAGTAAAGAAAATAGAGGTGTGGTTCACAGTTAGTAATATCTAAAAATGCACAAATGATAAATTCTTAATGGACATGATCTTCTGTTGTCAATTTAAATTCTTTGTTATAGTTACTGTCTATAAAAAAGGATACTATGGATTCATTTATTTTCGTGGGTACCAATTTTCGTGGATTTAGGAAAACTTGCATGTTTCGTTAATATTAAATTTTGTGGTTTTGACAAAATCTGCATACAAGCCTATAGAAAAGTTGTCATTTGTTGAACATTTAATTTCGTGGTTCACATGTAACCGTGAAATCCACGAAAATTGGTATCCAATGAATAATAATGAATCCACAATAATTGATTAAATTCAGAAGAAAAATCAAAAACTGACAAAACCATGACAAAAATGAACAAAAATTAAGAGACAAACTAAAACTTGAATGTTCTACATAGAAATGGAAATTTTACAATTGGAAAGCTAAAATCATCATATTTACCCAGATTTGTCCAACGCTCTTGGGCCATTTGATGTATAGTACTCTACGTTATTACAGATCTCTTTTAAGAAGGGCTTTTAATTTTGTTTGTCTCATTTTTTGTTCTACATTCTGAACTTTCTAAATTGTTGTTTATTTGTGCAGAATTATATTGATAAAATGAATACTGGTAAATGTTCTTTTAAATTGTAGGCTAAATTATTTTATTCAGTTTATCCTTCTTTTTCAGCTGAAAAGTCAGCCAAGCAAATAGCTGAAGAACTGTTACCAGTAGAAGAAAGGTAATGATACATATTAAAATTGGAAATTATATTTTCTCAATTTGTAATCAAACATCATCACCAAAGCTTCAAAATTGGGTGGTGTCACTTTTACAATTAGTTCATTGACTTGTGTATATTTTCAAGCAGGGGCATCTGTGACCCATAGACATTCCTCATTTATTTGTCTATTGTTTAATATATAAATCAACAAGTGTCAATATGAATTAGCTAAAAATTACTTCTTAAATTACAAGTTTGTGAAGTTAGACAAATAATTTTATGTGTGATTTTTTTTTCTCAATTTGAATTAATGCTATACTCAGGGTCTGGATGGGGTCCTTCATTTCTTTATTCTTTGATTTTTTAGAATGTCTTTATTCTTTATTAATTTTGATCAATATTCTCTATTCTTTATTTTTTGGTCTATTTTTCTACTTTTTTGTTTGCTCTTTATTCTGCACTTTTTGTCCATTATTCTCTATTCTGTGAACTCAATCCACGTCCTCTATAATGAATTGGAAGCAAATCATAGGACCTTAAACTACATTCATGCTTGCCTGTAATTCAGTGGTTGTCGTTTGTTTATGTGTTACAGATTTGTTATTCCTTCATTTTTTGTACATAAATTAGGCCATTACGGTAGTTTTCTCAATTGAATTGTTTTACATTGTCATTTCGGGGTCTTTTATAGCTGACTGTGCGGTATGGGCTTTGTTCATTGTTGAAGGCCGTACGGTGACCTATAGTTGTTAATTTCTGTGTCATTTGGTCTCTTGTGGAGAGTTGTCTCATTGGCAATCATACCACATCTTCTTTTTTATATTGGTCATCAGAGCACTTCAATATATCATTGCTTAATAGAAATGAATTAGATAATAACACTTTTCATGCTTTTTGAATTTAATGGCTATAGAATTTTAATATCATACTCGTCAGTTAAATGTGAAACATTTTTAAACCTTCCAGATAGAAAAAGAAGTTCAATGTAGTTGTATATACAAGGTGATAGGACGTGTCGCTGGAACAGGTAACTTTTCCCAGCTTGTAAATGTGTGATTAGGCGGGGAAATTATCAGAAATATATAAGGTCAATAAAGTTCCAATTACTTGTATGAAAAAAAACCCTGTCATTTAATCACAGCCGAAAGTCTCCATATAAGTAAACATTACTTAAAGAATCTTAGCCTCAAATATTCTACTTTCCAACACACCACAGGAAACCCAACCAACATTGGAAAAGGTTACATATTTACCTACGCAATATATGAAAAAGTAAACATTTTTAAGATCTAAATTATATGAAAAGGGTGGGGTAACAGAACCCGTATTGAAGTGCCCCCCCCCCCCCCCCCCCCCCTGCAACATGGATTTGATATTCTTCATTGTAGTCTATGAACATATAATTTGAGGAATACTGGGAGACAAACATTGTTATTGTACATGTTTAGATGTTTATTGTTTGTCTGTTTCAGGTTGAAAAATTCTGTGACACCTTTATGGAATGTTCCTTATGAAGAGCAGCTAAAGGTATATAAAATAAGATGGATAGTGAAACTTAAAGATAAGATATAGCAATGGTTTCTTCATTTTTGATGATAATCTTCTGTAACTCTCCTTGTCTTGTAATATTAAAACCATGTGTGAGACTCTTTTTGGCTGTTTTATTAAAATATACTCGGGAACCATCACTTTGAAATCTCAACTATGTATGGGTGTCCAGTATAGTTAAAATGTAATTGAAATTTCCAAATTTGCCACTTTAGGTGCACGTGGTTACCCCATTTTTAAAGACCAAAATTTCAATATTTTTCCATGTAAGCTTGTAAATGCTATACTTATATACAGTCAAACTAGCTGAAATGTCACCTCTTTATACCGTATTAGGTCACTAGCACACTATGTAACTAACAGTATTAGCCCTGTGCTTCCTGGCTAACTTAACATATTTGAGAAATGCCATTTTTACTTGCTGTACCCATTCATTTATATGAACTTCTTTTGATACATTTAGAAATGATGGGATTCAGCACCAGAAACTGAAAAAAGATTCATTATTTTAATGCTGCTTTGATTATGCGATAGTAATTTCTAGAAATAAGTATTTTGTTTGCCCCAACTAAATTTAAGAAAGTTTGATTACTACTTTTGGCTGCTGCTGATTTGATTGGCTACTTGATAGCATTGGTGAAAAGCAGTTTCTCATTTAGATATTTTGGAAATCACATTTTCATTATACTCTCTGAATTTAGAGGTTCAATTTGAGCAAATCTATATTTGGAAATTTTTGGTAGACCTTTATGAAAACTATTCATTTTGTTTAGATGAAAGCAAATATATATTTCACAAAATATGTGTTAACTTCTGATTGGTCAGTTTACAAAGAAAGAAGCACACATCAAAACCATTGATTTTCCCCTATTAGTCTTTGCTAAATTTGCACTTTTCAAAAAATTGTGCAGAATTTATCTTTGTTTCAAATAAAGAAATACTTGGCATGAGTAAAGTTTTATCCTGTCCAGTACTATAGACAAAATTTCACATAACATTTCATTGCATATAAGAAAATAACCATCACTGGAAGTTAACCAATCAAATTTTCACCCCTTTTTTCCTGTGTACAAGCTTTAGTAACCATGTAACTGCAAGTTTCCAAAACATTCTATAGAAACACCAAATAAAAAAATTATGGTGCTTTGAAACACCCAAGATATATGTTTTATGACTCAGAAATTTGTTACTGCAGTGAAATGTAGGATTAATTTCCTACAACTGTCAAATTCAAGGGAATATTTTTTTTCGACCCTTTTTCGCATGGAACCGGATGTGATGAACTATGATTTACTGGTATTACACCTAAAAGTATATTGCATCCATCTTGATCCTCCATCTGTTTGTTAGTTCACTTCCCCACCATATATTCTCATTACACTTTTTCATGTACTACTGTGGATTAATTTATTAGCTTGGGTATCAATTTTCGTGGATTGAGGAATAACTTCATTTTTGTTGATATATGATTTCAGGGTTTTGCCAATTCAAAGCTTAAGCCTGTAGAAAAAAATTTCTTATTCATTGAATATTTGAATTCTTGGTTCACTGATACCCACAAAACCCACGAAATTTGGTATCCAGCGAACAATAATGAATACATAGTATTGCATAGAATTACTTCATGTTTATTAGCTTATTAAAAATAATGATTAAAGTGTAAATATAAAAAAGAAGTTGTGGTATGATTGCCAATGAGACAACTCTCCACAAGAGACCAAATGACACAGAAATTAACAACTATAGGTCACCGTACAGCCTTCAACAATGAGCAAAGCTCATACCACACTTTTTGGATCTTTCTGACACCTAGTTCCTGTTAGTAGATACTTTGAAATTTTTAATATGTTTATGTAGTCACTGACTGTTCCAATACTTCTTTACAGAATGACTTCCTATTTGGTTAGCAGCTTGGGAGTGATGAGTTGTAACATTTGAGCAGTTACTGGATCTGTTAGATACCTACTTCCTTTTTAGCTCACCTGGCCTGAAGGGCCAAGTGAGCTTTTCTCATCACTTGGCGTCCGTCGTCAGCATCGTCCGTCGTCGTCGTCGTTAACTTTTTACATTTTGAACTTTTTCTAGAGAACCACTGAATGGAATGAAACCAAACATGGCATGAATGTTCCTTTTGAGGTGCTGACCAAGTGTTGTTACTTTGAAGCCGATCCGTCATCCAAGATGGCCGCCAGCAGGGGACTTAGTTTAACATAGGACCCTATGGGAAATACATACAAATGTCTTCTTTTAGAGAACCACTGAATGGAATGAAACCAAGCATGGCATGAATGTTCCTTATGAGGTTCTGACCAAGTGTTGTTACTTTGAAGCAGATCCATAATCCAAGATGGCCGCCTGCGGGGGACTTAGTTTAACATAGGACCCTATGGGAAATACATACAAATGTCTTCTTTTAGAGAACCACTGAATGGAATGAAACCAAACATGGCATGAATGTTTCTTATGAGGTGCTGACCAAGTGTTGTTACTTTGAAGCCAATCCATCATCCAAGATGGCTGCCAGTGGGGGACTTCGTTTAACATAGGACCCTATGGACAATACATACAAATGTCTTCTTTTAGAGAACCACTGAATAGAATGAAACCAAGCATGGCATGAATGTTCCTTATGAGGTGCTGACTAAGTGTTGTTACTTTGAAGCTGATCCTTCATCCACGATGACTGCCAGCGGGGAACTTCCTTTAATATAAGACCTTATTGGAAATACATACAAATTAATGCTTCTTCTAGAGGTGCAGTGAATGGAATGAAACCAAACATGGCATAAATGTTTCTTGAGGTGCTGATGAAGTGTTGCTTCTTTGTTGCTGATTTACTGTTCAAGATGGCCACCAGGATTTTTTATTAAATTACAGGGCCAATAATAAACCAAATTTGGCCTCACTGATTATTAGGGTATCTGTTATGATTTTAATCTATTTTAACATGATTTCCAAAACCAAAGTAGAATCAGGTGAGCGACGCAGGCTCTTGAGAGCCTCTAGTTTCTATACTTTGAATTAGCAACGGCACGCCAACATGGGCATTCTTGTTTATTTATAACATATATTGATATTTGGTACGTTATACAGGTTTTTGGAGTCCTAGCTTCATGAATAGATTGAAGCACAGTATAGTCCAAATAAGATATTTAACAATGTATAAACAATCTTGTGCGATCAGAATTAATCTTAACACATTTTTTTCATTATAATTTTTGATGTATTTTGAATTACTTTCAGACTAAGTTTGAAGAAATAGAAGAAGCATTAAAAAATGTAGCTACACAAACTCTCAAAAATATACACTATGATAAAAACAATACTGATTTGAAAGACTGGATTACTGGACAAAGGTAAATAATTAACTAACACAAACTCTTAGCTTAGGCTGGAATAGCAAAGCAGACACAGTTGAAATGGTTTATATAGACATAAATGATTTGCTTTGACCCGAACTAGAAGTAGGTCAACTAACACTTAATTTAAAGTGTATTTTGAAATGAATTAAACCTCTGTAGTCTTGTTAAGAGGCAATATACACAAGACACAATCTCAGGGTTACAGATTCTTTATTTCAAAGTATATATACCGTAATCCAAAATACTACCCTGTAATAACAATACATTATATTAATGGATGTAATCTAATTAAATGACAAGATAGCTTTAAACTGTTCTGAACAAAGAAACTTTACTTTTCCGAGCATTTCAATAATAAAAGAATGATATATAATTTCATTAAATTTGGAGATAGTGATCTCAAATTTTATTGTTTTATGAATATAACTAAATACCAAAATCTAATCATAATGCATATTTCGATGCTTTAGTATACATTACAACAGTCATGTAATAAACTGTTTAATGCTCAAATACTATAAGCAGAAGCTCAACTATATTTGGTGTATGGAATGATTGTAAGTGGTACATGTCAGTTTGGCAGGTTTCCTCTGACCTTGATCTCATTTTCAAGGTTCATTGGTCAATGTTAAGTTTTTTGTGTTTTGGTCTGGTTTTTAATTACCATTAGCAATACGGTAGGTCAGCTGTATTTGGTGTACAGAATAATTGTAATGTGTACATGTCTGTCCGACAGGATTTATCTGAACTTGACCTTATTGTCATGGATCTTTAAACATGTTAAGTTTCTGAGATACTTGTAGTAAAACCTTTATCTTTAAGACTTTCAACATGAAATCAATAGTCAGATCATCATGCAAGACACTTGTGTCTTTTAAAAAGCTGTCTCATATATTCCTATATGATATTATTTTAGTCTGAAATCAGAGCAATTTAAAAAGAGCAAAGTTTACACCAACCCAAATTTATTCAACATATTTTGTCGTTATCTGTTATAATTGAAAAGATGATTTTATTTTGTAGAAAACTTCACAACGGGAAATGCTGTCAATTATTACCCATAAAACCCTCTGTAAGTTTGTCCATAGAAATTATTAATTTCATGATGTATAATGAGAGCATGTGAAATTCTATCACTACAGTATTGTTACCGAACTATACAGTTTGTTGAGCAAATCATTTCACACCTTCTGTGAGTAGACAAATAGCATGAATATAAGTCAAAACAAATATGTCAAAGTTTTTTGTTATGAATGCATCAAAAAATTAAATATCAAGGACATGCATTGTCGGGTTGTTGTCTCTTTGACACATTCCCCATTTCCATTCTCAATTTTATTTTTTACAGAGTTTGTCTTTAGTGCCGTGTGGAGACAGTAGAGTGCCTCCCCGTGCTTCAGGTTTATGCTCTTATAATATACTAGATTATGGAGTGTGTGTCCGAGCGAGAACTTCTCTAGTTCATTACTTTAGGAATATTTATCAAAAAGTAGTATTTCAATATTCAGCCCCATTCTACTATTTAGTCAGACGTCAGTCGCTACCCTAATATACCCTTTCTTTTTCGGGTAATTAATACGGATAGCGTTTGACATCTTTAGCCGAACAGATTTATCATTTTTACATAATTTAATTCATTGTATGCTGGTTCATATTCTGGACGCCAGTCTTTGCTCCTTTCTAATATAATTCACAAACAAAAAACAAATATGAAGCTTAGAAATGGAAAAATATTAAATACTAAACTCGTTCAAAGGGTATCTACACGTCTCAATCTTCAAAATCGCTTATCTAAAAATACTACCATCGCTAACATTTTTAACAATAAAAATCGTGGTTACCCTTCTATCGATAAGTGTCATGCCAAAAAATGACTTACATGTCCCCGTCTTTCCACCAACAATACGGTAAGGTCCACGTTTAATGGTCGCACATTTTCTTTAAATTTTGAAACTGATATAACTTGAAAAACAAACAGTATAATTTATTTACTCACATGAAACAAACCGGGATGCGGTATTCAGTACGTAGGTGAAACTGGACGATATTTATCTAAACGCACTCAAGAACATCTGTATCGTTTTAAAAGACCCAATAAATTCAAAAGTATCATTTATCAACACCTTAAGAAGCACAATCATCCTATTAAATATTTAGCAGTTCAACCTTTAGAAGTAGTAAATAAGCAGCCTGGTGAATCTCATTCAAAGTTTGTACGATCGCGGAAAATAATTGAATTAAATTGGATTAAAAAATTACAGACTGTCTACCCTCTCGGTCTTAATGATAATATCATGGGAATTGGTAATATATCAAGAACCGATTCTGTTAACATTTTGGATATAGTTTCTAAAACTGTTCGTAAAAACCGTTCTCATGGTCGTAGAAAAAATCGCAATCAAAGAAAATTTCGGACCAATCATACCAATATTTCGGACCTAATTTCTATTTCAAAAAACAACGGCAGACATTATCTGTTAACAAAGCTCTGTTCATTACCGGTTAATAAGTTAAATAAAATTTTAGAGGATTGCAACACAATTTCATATAGCAGTCCTAAGTATGAAATCGTTCAAATTATAATGGCATATTGTTATTCTAAACTGTTTCCCAAAATTGATCGCCCTGAAGATCATAAAAAACAGTTTATTAAAATAAAGTATGTCAATAAAGGTTTTGATTTTGTAAATATTGCCGGTATTTTTAACGACCATTCTGTTAAAGAACAAATTCCGGGATATTTTGATAATACTGAGCTCCCTCTTATTTGTTATATTTACAAGAAATCTACCCGGAAATTTGTGTTTAATTATAGCCAATTGTGTAAAGATGTTAATATCAGTGAAAATACACCTACTTCATGTAATTGCAGTAATTCCGAATACATTTATGGACCCATTTCCCATGTTATAACAGGAGATCTTAACATCGTTCAAGACCGAGAGTTAAAATCATTCCTCAGTAAAGGACCTAAATATCGTCCCCCGTCAATTATTAATTGGAATGAGTGTCGTAATATCATCCACGACTCACTCCATACTTACTGTTTGAAATGGATAAAACGGGAAAAAGCTGACAAAAAATCTTTGGACTCTTTTTTTAAATCAGTAATGAACATAGTTGATATACGTATTCAACATTTTAAAGAACATTTTACTCTTAACAATAACCACAATAAACCTATTTCTCGTATCAAACATAAACTAAAAGAACTAGCCAAGGAATTTGTTTTTGTCCCGGCCGATAAAGCTGCTAATAATATTATTATTGTTTGACGTAAATTTTACATTGAGGTTCTGAAAAAAGAAATCACCAATTCACCAACATTCCAACTGACTCCATTTTCAGAAAACGACATCTGTAACAAACATAAACTTTTAGCTACCGCTTTACAAGCAGAACCAAATACAATGAAAGTCCCAACTATGTATTGGCTTCCGAAGCTACACAAAACACCTTACAAATATAGATTTATTTCGTCTTCAAGCCATTGTTCCACTACTAAATTGTCTATTCTTCTTACCAGTACACTTGGTACAATCAAAAACCTGATAATAAATTGTTCAAATAAGGCCTTCGAAAATAGTGGAATTAATTACTTTTGGAGTGTCAAGAACTCGTTGGAAGTACTTGATAAATTGCATGCATATATTGGTGATTTTGAATCTGTTCAAAGTTTTGATTTTTCTACCCTATATACCACATTGCCTCACATTCTCATTAAGAAAAAATTCACACACCTAATTAAATGGGCATTTAAAAAGTCAGAATGTGAATATATATGTTCAAACTCTTTTAGGTCATTTTTTAGTAGCAATAAACAAAAAAACTATGTCAATTGGACATGCTTTGATACTATATATGCCCTTGAATTTTTACTAGATAACATTTTTGTTCGCTTTGGAGATTCCGTATATCGTCAGGTTATCGGAATTCCAATGGGGACTAACTGTGCACCACTTATTGCGGACCTTTTTTTGTATTGCTATGAGTTACAATTTATGACAAAAATCAGTAAAGACCCATCGAAACAACATCTGATACACAAATTTAATAATACTTTTAGATATTTGGATGATATTTTGGCTCTCAATAATGACGACTTCAGTATGTATACTAAAGAAATTTATCCTGTTGAACTTACTTTAAATAAAGCTAATACTAACAATGACCACTGCCCTTTCCTCGATCTTGATATCTATATCATTAACGGAAAGCTTAATACTAAAATATATGATAAAAGAGATGATTTTTCATTTCCTATCGTTAATTATCCATTTTTAGATGGTGACGTTCCCTTGTCACCATCTTACGGTGTTTATATATCTCAACTTGTAAGATTCGCTCGTGTATGTAACAATGTTTTAGATTTTAACGAGAGAAATGTATGTATTACTGAAAAATTATTACACCAGGGTTTTCGATATCACAAACTAGTCAAAACATTTACTAAATTTTATCATCGGTATAAGGACATCATTCGTAAATATAGCTCAACATGCAGACTTCTTATACGTTCAGGTATTTCACATCCAATTTTTTATGGAAATATTCTTTATAAAGCACAAAAATGTCAGTATTCACCTCTGAAACTAACAAAACCTTTAAATAGACTTATTAAGAAGGGATATAGTTACGATACTGTTGTCAGGTCATTAAAGATTGCATATTTTGGCGTTGATATTGATTCACTTATAGGGTCTTTGCATCTGCACTAAACACATTTATTTAAAAACCAGTTGTTGGCATGACACGGGTTATGTTCTTCTCATATATGTTATGATGGTATGATACTAAACCCCTAACGGGAAGGATTGTGCCTGATATTCATATGATGAAGACATAATCTTTCAATCAGTTTAATTGAAGTCTGGAGCTGGCATGTCAGTTAACTGCTAGTAGTCTGTTGTTATTTATGTATTATTGTCATTTTGTTTATTTTCTTTGGTTACATCTTCTGACATCAGACTCGGACTTCTCTTGAACTGAATTTTAATGTGCGTATTGTTATGCGTTTACTTTTCTACATTGGCTAGAGGTATAGGGGGAGGGTTGAGATCTCATAAACATGTTTAACCCCGCCGCATTTTTGCGCCTGTCCCAAGTCAGGAGCCTCTAGCCTTTGTTAGTCTTGTATTATTTTTAATTTTAGTTTCTTGTGTACAATTTGGAGTTTAGTATGGCGTTCATTATCACTGAACTAGTATATATATTTGTTTAGGGGCCAGCTGAAGGACGCCTCCGGGTGCGGGAATTTCTCGCTGCATTGAAGACCTGTTGGTGGCCTTCTGCTGTTGTCTGTTCTGTGGTCGGGTTGTTGTCTCTTTGACACATTCCCCATTTCCATTCTCAATTTTATTGTGAAGGTTGATATATATAGAAAGGACCAAAAATGGAAAAAAAATAAAGTTGGTATATAGACAGAAGTCAATCCAAAAGATACTATATTTATACTTGATTTTTTTTTAATATTGATAATGGCAAGTTCAGGCGGATACCCGGTTGAAATTAAACAAAAGAATTGGAACTCTTTGTTAGGGTAAAAAAGACAAATTGGTATATTTGAATTGTTTACATCTGTTTTTATGGGCTTTAAAAGTTTAATAAAGGTGCATAATTTAGGATTTTATGCATCTTTAATAAATACGTGTTTTTACTTAAATCATAGTATGGAGCTTCGAGATTTTTGTAAAATTTAAAATTATAGACCAGTGCAGGGACTTTCTATACTAACGGGACTAGTCACTTATAACAATGTCTATACCAATTTGCAGACAAAACTGTGCCGTCGCTGATGTCACGTGACTTCATAGCAAATCATTTCACATTTACGAAGTGTTCTTCATAGCTATATGTTCAAGTTTAATGAAGTAACATTTTTATTAAATTTTATACATTTTGTCATTGCAAAATGCTGTTTTTGAAAAGATTTCTCTGATAGTACTTTAAATATAGACCTTCGAACTTTGAGGTATTGTGTTAGTTAATTTTGAGTGGCCGCCATATTGTTCAATATGTAACCCGTTTTGCACGACTGGAGTGTTCTTCAAAACGATATGTCTCAGTTTAATGATTAAACATTCTTTAAAAATCTTATATTTTTTGTCATGGTAAATGGCTATTAATCAGATTTTATATTAAAAAATATTAAATTACAATGTATTTTGAAATACGCAAATAACTACTAGCTTTGTATGTCAGAGATACAAAACTAAGTTCATTGTTGGGTGGTAGCTTTACATGGGTGGCGTAGTTATTAATTAAAATCAATAGAGACGAGTCCCGTTAGTATAGAAAGTCCCTAACCAGTGATATTGTTGTCTTTTTTCAAAACTACCGCTACCATTTTTTTGGGGGAAAAATGCATAATTTTTATTGAAATTGGGAAGTTGTTTTTTTTTTTTAAAAACACATCTCTGATTTTTTGCTAAACTTTACTGTCTTTTTTGCACAGTTTTATCATGTATATTTTATTTGTCAGACATTTTAACCTGAAAGGTATTTCTGGGGAGGGGAAAGAGACGGAAGCAATGATGGTACATAATGCATTGAAAACCACATGTGTTACAAACACCGTGATGATTCTGATCAGAAACCTGGATCTCAAAAGCACTTTCATAATATCAAAATAATAACATAAATACAAAATTTACATTCATTAATCACTTTTGGGAAAAATGTAAAACTTATTGGGAGGAATTTTAAGCCATTTTTTTTCGTAATTGGGAATTTTCTCTAGGAGAAGAAGCCGAATTTCAGATGTAATTTGAGGCAAACAATATCACTGTAGACAAATTTTCATAAAACAGTCGATTGTGGTATGTGCAGTACAAGTAGATTTTTTTTGTGCATAAGCATAAATTCCACCGAAAAAAATTCCTCAGTAAGATTGATCTTTTTCAAGCATTAATTTGCTTCTCTGCCCCCGGGGGCAGTTTTTTTGGGAAAAAATCCTAAAAATGGGCAATAATTTCAACGAAAAGAAAATTCGAATGCACTTTTTTATGTTCGGGTGTGTTTGAGTTGACTATTCTGTCTTGAAAACGTATAAAGCAAAAATATTGTATACATCATCTCGCTTCAGATTCTATTATTTTTATATATTTAGGCTTCAGGTTGATTTAATAAATTAAACATTCACAGTACTAAAAAATGAAATATATGGGTCAAGTGAAATACCTTTCTAATGAGTCATAAGAACAGAGTAGGTGTGTTTGAATAACAATTTTTTACTAAAAGTACTTGACGACAGACTTTACAAGTGGATCTTAAAAATGCATAACTTCAAAAAAACTTCATTTTTTTTGTGTGCTATGTAGGGTAATTAGTCTTCAACCTCTGAAAATTTTTAGTCTGCCCTTCCACAAAATATCAAATTAGAATTTTTTTAAATGTTTTTAAACTTTTGAAAATTCCACCTGACAACTGATCAGACAATAGTTTTAAGTTGACTAAATGCAGAAAAGTACATTAAATGATGCTCAATAGTTGGTAGATACATTTGTCTTTTAAAATACAACGGGCATACAAGGATCGTAATGATGCTATGTGGATAAATTGATCAGTTTTCAAGAGCTAAATTGGCAGCGCGTCAACCCTACAATGGCTTCCACTTTTACGATTGTAAAAATTAGCTGGCGTAATGGGGAGATAATTTTGACGAAGTAGAATCCTGACTGGTTATGTTTTGGTGATCCCGGATTTGACTTTGCTTAGACTGATTATGTAAAATTTTAAGTCTACACCAGTTGCCTACTACTTGAGAAGTACATTATAATTCAAATGTTAATTTCTGGAGGTATCAAAATATTAAACAACACCTTCAAAAATGACATCTTTTTTCCAATAAACAATGTATAATACATAAAGAAATATTGCAATATAAATGAAAGTTTGTGTTTTTGCTTTTGATCTTAATTTTTTGGCATTTATTTTCATTGGTACCAATTTTTGTGGATCGAGGAAAGATTTTATTTTCATGTATATTTGATTTGGTGGTTTTGGGAAAGTCTGCATAAAAAGGTATAGAAAAAGTTTACCAGTCATTGAAAATTTAAAATTGTGGTTGACCTTTACCCACGAAATCTACAACTATTGATATCCCAGGGATAATGATGAATCCACAACTATTGATATCCCAGGGATAATAATGAATCCACAACTATTGATAACTCAGGGATAGTGATGAATCCACAACTATTGATATCCCAGGGATGATGATGAATCCACAACTATTGATATCCCAGGGATAATGATGAATCCACAACTATTGATATCCCAGGGATAATAATGAATCCACAACTATTGATGTTCCAGGGATAATAATGAATCCACAGTATGTAGTGTCCGTTTGACATTCAAACTGTCTGTCAGTTAAAGAGGGTCTGGATCAATCTGGTAGGAATTTACAGAATAGTTAATAACGGGCATTAAGTGCAGAATAAAGGGCTGAATAAATTAAGAATAGAAAATAAATAGACCAACAAAAATAAAGAACATAGAATAATAGGGTATTAAAATAGAAAGAATAAAGCATAATGGGTAAAAAAGAAATAATGAAGAAATGGAAGGACCCCAATCCAGACCATCATCAAAGTATTGTCTATATATTTACAGCCTGTGACAGAAGGGTACAGAAATAAATGTGAATTTACCATTGGCAAAGATGTTAACGGGCAAGGTAGGCAAGAGATAGTATTATTATAGGAATCTTTTTCTCATGATTTAAGTGAACATAGGCAAGTTCAGCAGTGGACATTATAGGCTTTTATATTGTTAAAGAGAGGCGGAATGTACCAAAAGGGTTATCAAACTCATAAGGGCAAAAACAAACTGACAATATACATGATATAATGCTATGGCAAAAAACAAAAAAAGACCAAAAGACGAACAACAATATACAAAACACAACATAACTCAATCTAGTGAACCAAAGCCATTGTGTTTACTTCTTGTAGAGACACAAAATAGAAAAACTTAAAGACTGATCAAGATGAACCCCTCCAAAAACTGGGGGTGATCCAGAAGGGTAAGCAGATCCTGCTTCACATGCCTGGCCCTTCGCGTTATTCCTATAAAATACATTGATAAGTTATATCAAGTGATTAGGCTTCACAAAATAGCTGATTGGTTATTGTTTCTTATTTAACCCCAAGACATCACTAAATTAATACCATCGCTTATTTGTTAAATTCTGAATCCTGAAAATCCATGTGAAATTTAGAAACACATTAAACATGACAAAAGATAGACCAGACTATTAACGGTGTAAACAAAACAGAAATTGAAAAATTAAAAAGCACAAAGAACAACACCTAAAACTGACATTGTTTTATAGTTGGTGGTTATTAATTAGTCATGATAGAAATTATCATTATTTTGTAAGCCTAGAAGAATCAACTGATAGAACATATGGCTTTCATCTAGTCCAATATTGAGCAATTTTAAATTTTATAATGATCCAAAGCTGTTAGTTAAAAGATCTGATATGTCTTTTTAATTTAACTAAAATTTTGGCACGTATTATATGAATATAATTAATACAGACTTCAATGATGGACATCAAATGTTTTATCAGGGAAAAATCATTGTATACCACATCTACTTGTATTCTTACTTTAAAGGGTGCATGGACGGGGGTCTTTTCCTAAATGAGGGTATACAGAGTCATACCGCTGGAATTGAATGGGTCCCTTTTAAGCTCACCTGGCCCCAATGGCCCAGTGAGCTTTTCGTATCACTTGGCATTTGTCGTTGTCTGTTAATTTTTACAAAAATCTTCTCCTCTGAAACTACAGGGCCAAATTAACCAAACTTGGCTACAATCCTCATTGGGGTATCTTGTTTAAGAAATGTGTCCGATGACGACACCTGCTAACCAAGTTGGATGACATGGCTAAAAATAGAACATAGGGGTGAAATGCAAGTTTTGTCTAATATTTTGAAAACTGTTAGGAATAGAGTAAATCAGACAGGAGCAGAAATGTTCAGAATGTTGAGCTGTACCAAATGTCCATATTAGTCAAAACTGTTCTTATTGAAGTTACTGCCCTTTAACGATGATTTTTACCATTTTTTTGCATTTTGCCTTATATGTTAAAAATTATAATAAATAGATAGACACTTTAATATGTATAGTTATATATATATAGGAGTGATTGCCCTTAAATGAGAATTTTTTTACCCTCTTTTGTGTTTTGAGCAAAAACTAAAGAAGATAAAGAGAACCTAAACAGACTAAATGATCAGCAATACAAGATCATCAAAACAGATATCTTTGTCATAAATTATATACTCGTCTACAATGTGGGAGAGTGTCCTTTGTTGAATATGTACATAAACCAAGGTGAGCAACACAGGCTCTTTAGAACCTCTAGTTTATTTGTCAAATCTATCAATGGCAATCATTTCACATCAGAATTTGATGTGAAATGAAAGCAAATGTCATAAACCATCATTTTCATTACAGCTGTAAATTTATTCAGTCTTGTGGGCTAGTTAATTTTTGTTGTTGACAGTATTATTTAAATCAGTTACTTAAATATACATTTATACTATATTACAGAAAAAACAGTTGGATTTAGGTTTGGTATGTACAAAGATGGTACTAATTCAGTAGGAGAACCTTATGATTTACTAATTATACCAGACAATATGAAGAAAGTTGTTAAGGTATTACAATCTTTAAACCATTTTAAGAACAGAAGTTTGGTTTTTGATTTGGGATTGTATGACAGTAGCTTAGCTTACACTATTGTTTCAGATAAGGGTGAAGGTTTGGTACCATTAAAACATTTAAACTTGCTGCAATTGTTTGCACCTGTCCTAAGTCAGGAATCTGATGTTCAGTAGTTGTCGTTTGTTAATGTGGTTCATAAGTGTTTCTTGTTTTTTATATAGATTTGACCGTTGGTTTTCCCGTTTGAATGGTTTTTCACTAGTAATATTTGGAGCCCTTTATAGCTTGCTGTTCAGTGTGAGCCAAGGCTCCGTGTTGAAGACCATACTTTGACCTATAATGGTTTACTTTTATAGATTGTGACTTGGATGGAGAGTTGTCTCATTGGCACTCGATCATACCACATCTTTTATAAATTTTGTAAAACTGTTCTTGGAATTAAAAAAACCTCATGTAATATAGCTGCAAAGTCTGAGTTAGGACGATTTCCGCTTGACTCCTTTATCAAAACTCAAGTTTTATTATATTTTTGTAGAATAAACTGCCATGAAATAAACCCTCTTGTTAAATAAGCTTTATAATAATAATAAATACAATATTTATACAGCGCATTATATAATAGCAACAATTACTCTAAGCGCTTCACATTTGAAAATAAATAAAATACAAAAATACATAAAACATAAATTACAAAGCACCAACTTACAAGAATCAAACAAGCATATAAAAATTAATAAAATACTAAAAATGAAAAATGCATGTACCCTAAAATATACAAAAACAGTCTAAAACTAATGCAGTCAATTAAAAGTATATAAAATCTACAAGAAATCCTTGAAAGCAGTTCGAAATAAGTGAGTCTTGAGTTGCTTTTTAAAAACATCCAAAGAATTTACACTCCGCAAGGACGATGGCAAACTGTTCCAGAGTGTAGGTGCAGCCTTGTCAAAACGCCTCTCACCGTAGCTTTTCGTTCGGACGTCATTCGGAGGATGTAAGAGCATACAATTTTCCGACCTGAGAGATCTACTGGGTTTGTAAGGCGTAATTAAATCTTGAAGGTAGCTAGGAGCCTTGCCATTCTTGGCTTTGTACACATATAAAAGAAGTTTATATTGGCAACGGTAATGTATGGGTAGCCAGTGTAACGATATTAGAACAGGCGTAATTGAGTCAAATTTCTTTTTTCGTGTAATCAAACGTGCTGCTGTATTTTGGACCCGCTGTAACTTACTGATAATGTTGGTGTTAGTACTGTACAACAATGCATTGCCATAGTCCAGCCTTGATGTAACTAGGGAGCATACTAGTGTTTTACAGGATTCTACTGAAATTAAAGATCGAATTCGACCAATATTCCGAATTTGGTAAAAACAAGCCTTAGTGATCGCACTGGCTTGATGTTCCATGTTGATGGTTTTATCAAAGTACATGCCCAGATTTTTCACACAAGAAACGTCGCTTAACACAGTTCCATCAAATGTCAGACGGAAATCGGAAAGATGCTTCAATTGATGCTTTGGTGCAAAAATGATTAATTCTGTTTTGTCTTCATTAAGTTTCAGCATGTTGACACTCATCCAATCACCAATATCAGACAAACATTTTTCTAGGCGTTTGGACAGATCGCACCAGTCTCCTTGCGGTCTTATGATTTGATAAACCTGAGTATCGTCTGCGTATGAATGGTATGACATTCCGTGGCGCCTACAAATTTCACCTACTGGTTTTGCAAAAATACAATACAGTTTCGGCCCTAAAACCGAGCCCTGCGGTACACCAAAATCGAGTTTTATATCGTCAGATTGTACTGATCCTATAGCAACACGTTGAGTCCTGTTCATAAGATACGATTGTAACCATAGCAAAGCATCTCCGGTAACGCCAAAGGAATATTCCAAACGATCAAAAAGAATTTGATGGTCGATGGTATCAAAGGCGGCCGATAGATCGAGCATGAGCAAAACGGCACAACAGTTATTATCTAGTGCATAGGCAATATCGTGATGAACACGTAAGAGAGCAGTTTCCGTGGAATGACATGCACGGTAAGCTGACTGAACAGTATCATGTAGAGAATGTGAACTCATGTGATTTTCCAGTCGACTGGCTTTTGCAGTAAATAAGTGTATGTCTGAAGATGGAATATATACTTGGTATACTTTTGCCAAGCATATTCTTAAAGAATTAAATATTGATGAAGAAGAATATGTTGATTTTGATAAACCTTTTAAACTTATAAAAAATTCCCTCAAAAAAACTTTTAAACATATTGTGAAGGAAAAGTATAATAACATCACTCTTGAAAAACTTTCAAAAATTGATAACAGTTCAAAACTTTATCTTTATAGTAAATTAAAAATGAAATTAAATTGGAGGACTACTTGCACAATCTAAACAATTTTAATAGTCGTCAACTTTTAACAAAAATTTTGTGTAAGTGATCATAATTTGGAAATTGAATTAAGACGTTATAAAAAAATTCAAAGAGAACACAGACTGTGCAAAGTTTGTAAAATTTGAGATGATGAGGAACACTTTTTCCTTCATTGCCAAATTAATAGTAATGTAAGACATTCCCTTATAAATGCAATTTAAACCCATTATCCTAATTTTAACCAGCTGGACTCAAACTCTAAACTTAAAACTATTCTAGATCCCAATAAAGATATTTTGTCTAGTGTTGTAGACTATATAAAGCAATCTATGGAATTGCGAAAATAAGGTCCACATTGGTCAATTATTATATATATATATATATATATATTATTAATATCAACTTGACTTGTTTAAAACATTTATCATGTATTATGTTTCTTGTCACTTGTGTATACAATGTACTATGTTTGCATTTTAACCCGCCCGGGTTTCATGTTTTGCAATAAAGTTATATTATAGTATATCTATTAGCTGCTCCAAATTTATCAAAGCAATAGCTTTCATTCATATAGACAGCCAGTTCTACTGTTTATTTGTTTCCATGCAATAACTTGAGAACTATTCAACAGATGGTTTAAAGTTTTAATATGTTCTTACTAATAAATTTGTTGTCCGCAAATTGTAAAATAATATCGTGTCAAGTTTCATAGAATTTTATGAAACTTTGGCAGCAGTTTTTTATGATTAAGAGACAATGTTTGAAGTAAACATTTTAAAATATGTTTTCATTTTCAGTATTTATCTGAAAGATGAACTTAGTTTTTAGCTCACCGTTCTGAAGGAACTGTGAGCTTTTGCCATCACTTGGCATCCGCCGTCATCTGTTGTTGTCTGTCTGGTGTAAACTATTTTAAACATCTTTTCCTCTGAAACTACTGAACCAATTCCTACCAAACTTGGGCTGAATTATTCTTAGGGTATCTAGAGTAAAGTTTGTGTCTTTTTTTCAGTTTCGTTAAAAAACATGGCCGCCATGGCTAAAAATAGAACATAGGGGTAAAATGCAGTATTTGGCTTACATCTCAAAAACCAAAGCATTTAGAGCAAATCTGACATGGGGTAAAAGTGTTCATAAGGTGAAGTTCTATCAGCCATGAAGTTTTCAGATGAATCTAATAACCCATTGTTGGGTTGCTGCCACTAAATTGGTAATTTTAAGGAAATTTTGCAGTTTTTGGTTATTACAGTTGAGCGATTCAGGCTCTTGAGAGCCTCTTGTTTACAGTTAACACTTACATACAGTCTGGGATTAAATTTTTTTGACATGCCAAATTTGTAAACCTTCATGGATTGTTATGAAACTTGAATAGAAGCTAGTCCTCAAGAACCAAAAAAAAAAAAAAAAAAAAAAGCAACTTTAGGAAAAGTTTGATTTTTTTTTAGATTCTGTATTTTACTAATTCACTTTTTAGGTCAATATTACACTTTCACACTGACAGCAACAATCTCAATAACTTTGGAAATGTTTATTTTTATGCTGTGTAAATCAACAAAAACCAGAAATGGTGAAAGGATTTGTTCCCAATAAGATTTCAAAATACATGAAGTAGCTGTGGCCATAAAGAATTTCAAATTGGAAAATTTGAAATGTGAATATGGTAAAAATAATATTTTCTACAACTTTATTCAAATTTTTCAGTGTTTTCAAGATTATATAAGAAGCAGATCACTTTCATCTTATGACCCTGAAAACCATCAAGGTTATTGGAGGTTGTTGACAATTCGTTCATGTCTCCTTGGTGATCTGATGTTAACAGTAGACTTCCATCCACAACAGCTGACCAAGGTAAGTATTGATAACACTCCTTTGTTGTGCTTCCCTGTGGACATCAATTGATCTTTTTAAACTTGTTTCTCATATTTTACTGGTTTGCATCTCAATAATTTAATCAATAGATAAATAATTTAATCAAAATAGTATTTAAACTGATTGTATAATAATATTTAAATGGATAAAAAGCTAAATAATTGAAAGAACCCTGTTGTCTACATAAGTACAAGTCTGCGCAGGTGTGAAATTTAATTGAACCTCAGAAAGCTTTCAAAATGATGAACAATATGATTTAAAATAATTTATATACCATGTATCTTATGATTATTTCAAGCATTTACTTGAAGAAATAAAGCTGATAGAAAGAATCAAACACGATGATACTGGACAAAAATATCCTGATTTTAGTTTTTCTGTCCCTGTTATGATCTTAACCACTGCCAAGTCAACATTCAATTTTAGAAAACATGTGTTTTAAAACAAATATTAGAATCTTTCAGTATTCTTTTCGTGGAATTATAACGTGATATTTTTTATACACATGCTGGAAAGGAAGGTTTTATTGGTTATCATTAAACCTTTGTTTGTCATTTTTTTGTATATGACAGTAACTACAAGTCATAGTTGGTACATGGTTCCAAGTTTCATCTGGTTATGCCATACAGTCTGACAGGTTTTCACTTCCTTTGATATTTTACTTCCTGTATAATGCTAAATACTTATATCGCATGAGGTTGTTAATACATGTTACTTTTGAATCCTCTTTAGACTTCCATTGAAGAAGAGAAGAAACAGCTACAGGAATTTTTCACATCTGGAGATGGCAATAACTGTAATGTTAGCAGTATTTACTGGAGAACATACAGTAGTGTGTAAGTTTTCTACATTCCTCCCTTACTTTCATCAATAGAAACACTATGGCAGTAGTTATAGTAATGTAGAGTGTACAATTATTGTAAAAATTGAGACACCATTAAATGTGCATTGATTGCATCCCAATTTTACTTGAGAGGTTTAGCTAGCTATAAATCCAGGTTAAATGCACCATTTTCTACATAAGGAACGTTTATTCTGAGTCAGGAATATAACAGTTGTTTTCCATTTGTTTGATGTGTTTGAGCTTTTGATTTTGCCATTTGTGGATGATTTTCCGTTTTGAATTTACCTTGAAGTTCTGTATTTTTATGCTCCACCTAGGGGCATTATGTTATTCGTTCTGTGCGTCCGTTCATCTCTGTTTTTCCTTCTTCAGGTTAAAGTTTTATGTGAAAGTTTTTGGTCAAGGTAGTTTTTGATGAAGTTGAAGTCCAATCATTTTGAAACTTAGTAAACATGTTCACTATGATATGATCTTTCTAATTTTAATGCCAAATATGAGTTTTGACCCCAATTTCACGGTCCACTGAACAAAGATAATGATAGTGCCAGTGGGGCATCCCTGTACTATAGACACATTCTTGTTGTTGTTTTCATTTTTAACACTAAAAAATTATAATAATAAATTTTGACTAAGGTTAACTAGTTGAACGTGGCTTGGTACTTTTACATCCCTCAAAAAATTAAGCAATTAGTCAAAATTTATTATTATATTTTAACGGCCGTTTGTTTGCGGTGTTTAAATTCGCAGACTCTGTTGTAACTACTCTACCGTTGTCAAATTTGAAATATTTACAAATTTAGATTGTTCAGTGCTGTTTATTTGGACTTCTTATTGACGCAATCGTTCTTGTAACATCATAACTGTTGTCACCGTTAAAGCTTTAGAATTGTGCTAGTTCATATCGCACATTATTATTTTTATTTAAAGCATATATTTGAACTCTCTGTTGAAATTAATCATATAACCTATGTCGTGTTTAACACATATTTAGAATTGTGCAAGCGTCTTACCTGATGTTCGGTTTGACTTTTTTATTGTATAAATTTCAAGATTGTTATAGTTTAATCTAAGTAGACTGATATATGATTCATTCAACATCACAATCATATTTACTGATGAAGGATATCTGTTATCCGAAATATTTATAAATAATTACATTTATAGTTCCTTTTTTTGTTATTGGTGTTGTTGTGTACACTTTTTAGGCATTTATATATATATATATACTACACTCTCCTCTATGAAAAAAAAATTATACAGTTTATACTTGTTAATTTTTAATTAGTTTTAGTTTTTTTAGATTCCTTTTTTTCCAATTTGGATACAAAGCAAATGTTATGATTTTTTTTCAAATTATGTATATGTTTTTTATACTTATTTTCTGTTTATTTTTGCAGGCAAACTGGTTCCCAAGAAGCTGAGTATGAGCATGTTATTGGTAGTAAGGTATACATCTGATATGGACATAATCTTTAACAAAGAGTTATCTACCTTGAGTGTCCTTGACCTAATACCCCAATCTAGGAGTGGGGCTTTATGTTGCATTCCCCTTGTTAGCCCATACATCCGTCTGCTCATGTGACCATCTGTTTGTCCAATAAATATTTTCATCACACATTTTGTAGGTACTACTGAATTACTTAATTGGTCAGTAGTTTAACTTGATGAGTCTAGTTTAGGGTATAATGTTTGACCTGTTGGGCAGTCTGTCATTGCAATTCCTCTGAAACCACACAGCAGGATTTCATGAAACTTTGTAGATAATAAGGACATAATATATAGATGTGTATGTTGACAGGAAATTATGATGAAATTTTTTTTCAAGGAGTCATGTCCCTTTGAACTAAGAATTTTGAACTAAATATACCACTGCAACAGTTTTAAATTTTCAGCACTAATCTTCTGAAAACACACAACAGAATTTCATGAAACTAAGTAGATAATGTGGACTTACTATGTAGCATATCCTTAAGACATATTTTTCATTTGACTTTTGTATAAGTTATGAGTCTTTGAACTTAGGAATCTGGGGAGATTTTGTTTGCCCAGGGACAATGTAAGGTTGTGGGGTATGTGAACATGCTCACAAAGGTTTATTAATTGTGCAAGTACTTTTTATGCCCCACTTAGGGGCATAATGTTTTTAGGTGTGTGCATCCTGGAAAAATGCATGAAAAAAAAGATATCAAATGGGAGTTAAAACACTTCAAAAATAATCTGATAACGTAATGGCAAAAAAGGAAAATATCAAAACAAAAACAAATGAATACAAAAGATAACATAGAATACTTAAGACTGAGCAAAATGAACCCCAGCAAAAACCAGAGGTGATCTCATGTGCTCTGAATGGGTAATCAGATCCTGTTCCACATGTGGCACCTGTTGTGTTAATCATGAATGTACAACTCTATGACCAGTCTAATTTGGTAGGTCACATTTGGGTAAAAATGAGGACAGGATTGTGGTTACGACTATTGGAACGTATTCATTATCAACTAGAGAAAAAAAAAGACAATCATCAAAAGTATTCATGTTTACAATAAGGTACTTTTGCAAACAATTTTCATAGTACATGTAATAATTATAGTAAATTTAAAAAAACAAAAATTATTTCTATTATAGAATCTATCCATTTTACTTTTTATATTTTTATATTGTAGTACATTGAAGAGAAATTGTTTGATTTAAAATTTAGAATTTCACCAGATGCTTTCTTTCAAGGTATGTTTAAACCACCTTTGGGGTCTTAGTGTAGCATGCTGGTATCAGTTACAAAAGGTTATGGTGTCATGAAATAGAAGTTCTGTCATAATTGAAGTTCTAAGTGGAAGAAATTAAATATTGTGTAATAGTATTGTATAAGAACAAAAATACAGCATTTTTTTTCCTGAATAAAGGGTATAGAATATTTTTTCAAACAAGAACAGATATTAATGCATTATTTATAAAGAAGATAAAAGGGAAATGTATATAAGGCGGATCAAATATATGTTGACAATAGGTTCAAACCCTGGAGACCAAGTGAAACCACACACTTTAAAAAAAAAATCATGACTTGATGTTAAGCATGCAACATTTATGAGTAATAGCATATACTGATTTTTTCAGACTCACAACTTTTTGCCCAGTTATCATGTCTTACAAGTCTTGTCTTGCTCGAAATCTCAAACTTGCTTGTGTCAACTCTAATGAGAAAACCAATAGCCTTATCTGTACAAAACAAAGATAAAAAGCAAATATGAAACAGGTACACTGGAACCAAGCAAACCAACCACTGAATTACAAGCTCCTGACTTGGGACAGACACATAAAAGAGGGGAGTAAAAGGGGGGTATCTGCACGGAAGAACGTGAAATATAATTGCCATTTCACGATGAACGAACATTTAAAAATTTCTTGCACGTTGATCTTTTTACCGATTTCACGAAACACTGTGAATAACGAACCTTTTTCACGGCTGCACGTGAAATAAAAATGGCAAAACACGTTGCACAAAAATAATCCTTTACCACCCTCATAAAGGATGTGACAGATTTCAACATGATTCTGAAGACTCAACTGTCACCCTAACATGTAATTTTCTAAGTGATTTTCAGTTTATACTGTTTGTGAAAACATATTTGGTTTGTGAACTCATCGGAACATATGATTTTGTAAGGTTCTCACTTTCTTGTAGGAGGAAACCACAAAATTCATGATAATTCTCGTGAACAACAATATTTTCACAGAATGTGTTTCCTCTTTGTTGAATACTTGGATTTGTGGTTCACTATATGAAAACAACGAAAATTGGTTATCCCTGAATACATGTAGTAATGAATCCACAGATCTCCACAGTATGGAAATAAATGTTTACAGTGCCATACGACTGATATAATTTTATATTTCAGTTAATACATTAGGGGCAGAGGTTCTATATAGTCAGGTTGCTGATTGGTGCAAGGCCTCACCCACCACAACCGTTTTAGATATTTGCTGCGGGACTGGTACTATTGGAATTTCAATGGCAAATGTAAGATTAACATTATAACAATAATGAAAACATTTAACTGTAAATTTAGAATGTTTTGTGTGTATTGATTATTGCAATGCTGGACAATGGACAGAAATTTTAAGTTAACTATTGCAATTACCGGTAAGGTCAATTAAGAAAATGCTACATAAAAATAATACCATCAAATATTAAAATGAGAGTTTTTTTTCAGAAACTTACCCTTAGAAATTGATGCAATAAAAATATTGCAAACTTTCCTGAATTTACAGTGCAAATGCAATATTTTGCCTAAATGTTTAAACAGAGAACACATCATTGATTAGAAAAATATCAATGTATGGCCATAGTTTCTGAAAACAGTCTGTAAATACTTTTAAAATTTGACTGTTAACCAAGAATGCCAGTTGCATGATTTTTTCAATTTTTTATGTTTATTCTAACAGTCCTCATTTAAATATTAAACTGTTGAACTGTGTATGATGCCCGTCATCCTTAGGTAAACATGGTCAACTGAATTGGTTAATAGGAAACTTGTCATCAATTTTCTAGAAAAGTTTAGTAATTACCGTACATTAAAGCAAAGAAGGGGGCAATTATATATTAGCTTTTGATGAAGGAATTGTAAGATACTTATTTACTTATATATTGTAGAAAGTCGATCAAGTTATTGGGATAGAGTTATGTGAACAAGCTGTTGAAGATGCTAAACAGAATGCAAAATTAAATGGTATGGATCTCAAATGGCACATATCGTGGAAGAGTCCATAAACTTTTCCATAGGTCATATCTGCATATTCTGAAAAAAGGGATCCATCATACCTCAAGCAATATGGTGTCAATTAGGTTTAAAATTGGGTTCAAATGGTTGCTAATGAATGCATGTATGCATTTCTTGCTAAATGGTTTGTTTTTCAATGGTTTAATTTAAAGTTATCTACTAGATATTTATATTCTGAATAGACGCTTAGATATAATATACTTGATTAGATATTTTCTTTAATTTGGTTACTATATATTAAATATAGTTATCTTTCAGATGGCTGGATACTGTGACAAATGTAATTTAAAATTTGCATTTTTTTCACAAAGCCAAAGTTTTGATCAAAGGGAAATAATCCATGTCGTTTTTGTTATGTGCATATATATATTTATAAATAAATACAGGTCGAATCAGTATTTTACCTAACCTTACAACGCTTTTCATAATGCTAGCAAGGCAAAGGTTTTTTGGCTTGCTTGCTTAGTTTGTATCAATGTTTGCTCAAGCATTGTAATTAAGATTGACATCTGAAAACAACATAAAAAGGTGGATTTAAACTTGTATACATTATATTTAGATTTGATTGCATTATCAAATAATCAAGTTTACCTTCACACAGATTTAACTCCACCTACTTATATTGTTTGCAGATGTCAATCTTTATTACAATGCTTGAGAAAACATTGATACAAACAAAGCAAGCAAGCCAAATAAACCTTTGTCTTGCTAGCATTATGAAAAGAGCTGTAACAGTGGACATAAATTCCAACTTTTTGATAAACATAATCTCAAAATGAGCTTTTTCTTCCTTATTCACTGCTATAAACTAAAGGCGCAAGAATGTTTAAAAAAAAAATCTTAAACATAAAATAATGATTTATGTTTGTAGGTATATACAATTGTAGATATCAATGTGGGAAAGCAGAAGATTTGATAACACGTATCATGAAATCATTACATACAAAAGATGTGGTAGCCATATTGGATCCACCACGAGCAGGCATACGTAAGTCAGAATATACCTGAACTTCAGGTCCAAAGAATACCTTTATTATATGATTGTTTTTTAGTCACTGAAATAGGAACATTTAACATCATGGTAAGATATGGGGATATATTGTTTCTAGGACAACAGTCACCCTCCAAGGACATAAGCTCCAAAGAAAATCTTCCAAACATTGCCCAAGGACTAATGCACACAACATTGTACACAACACCAAAGCTCCAACTGCATCTACTTATTTTTTAACTTGAACATAAGATTTTCCTGGAGGTTATAAAAAGTTACACCAAGGGAAGTTTCATTGATTGAACGATTGATTGGTTAATTGAATTTTGGATTTGTAGTTAGATGTAATATTTCAGTAATAATGAATATCACATGATAGTATTATGGCAATTTTTAAGATAAAATGGGATACATTTTAATGTGTGAAAAATTGAGGACATGTATTCAATCTAGACTCATTAATTTTACCATAAGCGATAAAAGGAAGTTTATGCAGCTTGCAAATTACAAACAACAAAAAACAAACACAATGTATAAATTTTAAGGCAACAACTACAACCATTTAAACAAAGTTAAAATAAATTCACCAACTGGTGGATACTGACACAAAAAAATGTATTCCTTCTTTTGTAAGATAGAAACTGCCTTTCCATTGCTTTTGCTTTTTTGCTTTTTTTCTTTCAATTTAGATATATTAATGTTTATTTTTTTTTATTGTAGATCCTAAAGTGATCCATGCAATCAGAAAATGTCCAGTTTTAACCAGATTAATATATGTGTCATGTAGTCCAAAATCAGCTACTAATAACTTTGTGGAGTAAGTATCTTATGATTTGTTTAGGATGTCCCATATCCTCAGAAAGCCATGGTTTTTTCTATTCCAGCTGAAAATTTTCAAATCTCCAGTTGTGACATGACAACTCTATCACATGTATGTTCTCCTTCCAATTTTAATTTTTCTAATTTAGAATCCTTGCATTGTGGGTAATATTTTCAAAAGTATTCACCAGAGCACCATGATTGGTTATTAACATCTTAAACAATGGAAATTCAACTTATGACACAAATTTCTCTAAAATACATTAATATTGTACAAGCAAAGATATTTCAGAAATTGCAAATTTGACAGATAACCATATATTTTGGGGTTTACCCACTCCTCTGCTGATACTTTTTATCAAATTAATCAATGTCTATTGACGAAGGCTGATTGAATAACATACATGATGGATACCTCTAAGAGGTGTTTGAATGAGGATCTCCGTTTAACAGTTTTTCATTGGCCGAATATTTGTTTGTTTGAATGAAGATTTCCCTTTCACAGTTTTTAATTGGTCAAATATTTGTTTGACAAACTTTTTCTTTTTCTTTAGTATGAACACTGAAAATGATCACTAATTTATAGCTAAAATCATTTTGCAATGGGATCGATTTTTCCCAATGTAGTTGATTTTGACATACTTTAAAGGATATATTGCCTTTTGGGGAAAGGGGTGATTTGCAGATATGGAATAAGGAACACAGCAGATAGACTTCTAGAGATTGGCATTCTCCCTGTTGCAAAATTTATAAATGGAAGAAAGTTATTTAATATTTGAATTCATGATCATTTCAGATTTTGCATCTACCTGTAATTAATAAAATTAAATTATTGTAAACAAACTGTTTTAAAAGTGAATTGAAATTTTCTGAATAAAAATTGGCAATATTTTACATAAAACCATGCATGCATATTATAATTGTATATCATTTTTTTGAACAGGTTGAAAACAATTTCCATTTAACATTTTAATGTCATCTGAATAACTGATTACTTTATGGATACATTTACTAAATACCCCCCCCCCCCCCCCTCCCCCTCCATTCAAAGTGTCAAAAACAATTTTGTGTACTGTTAAGCTTCAAACAACAAAGATTTACACCTTCAGTAGAAATGCTTTTGTCAGGTAAATATATTTCTGATTTTATTGAACATCAAAATTCATACCAATTTGTATGTAACAGATTAATGTAATTAGTAATTAGTGCAAACTGTTAACTTTTTCAAAGAGTGAAACTAATGTTTGTGACAGGTGTTAGATATACGAATAATAATCTGTTTTGTACAGGTTGTTCTGATCAATGCTCTGACCATTTTTATGGCAGAAAATAGAAAGAAGGGGGCATTATGTTTTCCATTCTGTACATCTGTCTGCCTGTTTGTCCTTTAGTCCATCTTTTAGTTCATCCCGTAATAGATTTATGTTTTAGATAGTTTTCCATGATGTTGTTGTCACATCAAATTGAAACTTAGTACATTTGATTAAATTAATGTGAACTTTTAAGAATGTATGCCAAATAAGGCTTTTGACCACAATTTTACAAATAACTGAACAATGAAATGTTATAGCGGAAGCAGGGCAGGGTGTGCTATGGACACATATGCTTGTTTAAGATGTGTTGACATATATATGATCAATAAATATCATGCTTTTATTTTGTACAATTTATATCATTTGCTTTACCTTTATTCATTAAGTGCTTAATATGTTTCCTTAAATTGATTGATTGATTGGTGTTAAACGCCACTTTCAACACTATTGTGCTATTCGTGGCGATAAGTTTTTATTGATAGAGGAAGCCGGAGAGAACATCAACCTTCGGTAGGAAAACTGACAATCCTAGTCAATTAAAATTGGAGTTGTGCACCTGCCCCGTGCGGGATTCGAACTCACAACCTCAGTGTTGACTGGCTAGTGATACAGAAGTTTGACTACTTAGACCAATCAGCTACCGAGGCCCCTGTTTCCTTAAAGAACATCGTCCAATCCTAGTAAGCAAGTCATGGAAACAGGATATGTATTTTAATCAGATTGTTTTCAGTTGTATATATGTAGGACTCAAATCTATGGTGGGTTCCAGATCTATGGCAAATTCCTAATCTATGGTAAAAATGATGTCACAAACGCCAAATAAATCACAAATCTATGGCAGGTTTTTGTTTTCTCCAAATCTATGGCAGATTTGGATAGTACGTAATTTTCCGTCACAATTAAATAACGTCATGTAACGTTGAAGCTGCCGCTGACAGCGACGGTTTTGTTATACAAAAGGAAAAGGAAAAGATCAAAAAGTAAGTTTGCAAGGATCTAAATCAACCTTAATTCAGAATTGTTGTTGTTTCTATCCTTGATGCCTTCTTCTCGTGTTGCTGGTGTTGCCCTCACCCTTAATTGTACGAGCTTTTATTGTGCATTTTGGTTTGCTTTTTGCTGTTTTATGTAATGTTTTGTATCCCTATGATCTCTTAAATTTTCTATTAGAAGTAACAAAACGTAAATTATTTTGACATCTATGTAACAGTGACTACCTGGACTGTTGTAGCAAATAATCTTTCTTGAGATTCAGTGGAGAGAAAAAAATATGTCATAGATTTCTTATAGATATTAATAATATTAATGTTTTCCCCGCTATAAATATGCGAATAACTGTACTGTTGGAGAAATAAGGATTTTATTTTATAATGTCAGGGGTTGGAGGCGAGTCAATGTTCATGACAGGACTTACATCGTCATCAGTCAAACAAAATTTAAATTATCTAACGCTCAAAGTCAAATAGATATTTGTTAAAAATTCAAACTACATTTTGTGTTGGTTAAATAATGGGTCAAGCATGCAGGTACCATGCACAGAGTAGAAAATACTTATCCTTCCGGGGCACATGATTTCAACCCTAAAGTCTGTGTTCATTTTACAAACGGTTATGGATATGCTTCCTAGTAATAGTCATATTTTGTTTTTCTTTTACAATGTACTGGTTTTTACTTAAAAGCAGCTCTTTCGCTACCTTTGGACATTTCGACCTCGAAATCATTGATCATTGGTCAGATATATACTGACTGGTCCGACCTTTGCAGAAAATCTGTCATTGATTTGAAATCTAGAAATCCGCAATAGATTAGGATACTGAAAAAAAGTTGCCTTAGGTTAGGAAAATAAAAAAACACTGCCATAGATTAGGGTTCTAAAAAATCAGCCATAGATTGGGAATGGCATGACGTCATATTTACCATAGATTAGGAATCTGCCATAGGTCTGGAACCCACCATAGATTTGAGTCCTACATATATGTTGACAGTTATTGAGATTGATATGATTTCAGTTTGATGAAAAACCCATCCAAGAAGACGAAAGGAATGCCGTACAAGCCAGTGAAAGCTATTCCTGTTGATCTGTTTCCTTATACTAAACATTGTGAGATGGTGATTTTATTTGAACGTGAACTTCCAGTAAATCAGGAACCAGAACAAAACGACAGTTCATAGAGATTTTAATTAAATACATGTCATTTTAAAATTTGTTTGTATAAAATTTAGTAGAAACCAAACCAACTACTGTGGATTAATTTATTATTCATGTGATACCTATTTTCATGGATTTCATGGGTATAGGTAGACAACAAATTTAAATATTCAACAAAGTGCACATTTCAATAGACTAGGTATTAATTCAGACTTTGGTGGAAAAACAATAAAATCAAATTTCCACAAAAATTTAATTTTTCCTCAATCTACGAAAATTGGTATTCAAGAAAATACATAAATGCATGCACAGTACTATAACTCAAAGGTTGACTGGATTATAGAAAAATGGTAATATCTGAACATCTGAACTTCTCCCATCTGAGAGAAATACCATACCAAAGAGGAGCGTTGGTTTGGCAGTGCAGGGGGTATGAATATGCAGCTACGTTCAGTTGAAATGGAGATGTTTAAACTGATACCTCACTAATGGAGAGTGTTGAATTCTCTGCTCATTAAAAAACCCTTGCAAAAACTCTTTGAGAGTCTGTAGCTGACATGTTGCAAGCAAAATTTCTACCCTGAGTCTTTATACAGGATCTACATATTGAATTTATTGTTAATTTGTTCTAGTCCTATATATGCTTGAAATATTTGCCACTGGACAATAAGCAAACTACAACTAATCAACAAAAACTCACAAGTGGAGTCAAAAATCTAAATCCAGAGGACCATACAAAGTCTTAGAAAATGAAAATAAGATTGATTGATTGATTAATCGCTTGGTGTTAAATGCCACTTTCAGCACTGTTTGCTATTTTGTGACGACCAGGTTTTATTGATTGAGGAAACCGGAATGCCCAGAGAGAACCATAGACCTTTGGTAGGAAAACTGACAACCCTAGTCAATTAAGATTGGAGTAGAACACACCTGCCATGTGAGGGATTCAAACTCACAACCTGGGTGTTGACAGGCTAGTGATACAGTTGTTGGACTACTTAGACCACTCGACCATCTAGGCCCCTGAAAATCAATAAGTATAAAAGGGGGAGAGTTGAGATTTTTTTTAACTAATTTAAAGTTTCCATAAATTCATCTTTTTGTCCAAGTCAGAAACCTTGTCAGTGGTTGGTTTTTTCATAATTTCATTATTTTTAGTCATTAAGGGAATTTCGGTAAGATATTTTCATTTGTCTTTTGTTGAATCATCCTGAACATGCATGAAATACTTGTCACAGGACGTTAAGCAACCAATAATAAACAATCAATCTATTGAATTATATGTTATCTTTTAGATGTTTTTTTGCTTTTTTGTGTTGTTGGATTGTTTTTTCATTGATATACATGTATACCTCACATCTCCTTTTAATCATACATGAGTACAGACAACCAAGAAAAGACCCAGTGGAACAGGGAATGTTCAAAACTAGTTTCCAGTAGTACAAACTCCCTTCAAAAGAGGAATGATATCAGCATGCTATCTATTTTGTTATTTATAGTGGAAATGCTCAAAATGTTACAAAAATATGAAGATGTGTTATGATTGCCAATCAGACAACTCGCCACAAAAGACCAAATGAAAAGAAGTTAACAACTATAGGTCACAGTACGGCCTTCAACAATGAGCAAAACCCATACCGCATAGTCAGCTATTTACGCTTTTTCATAATTGCGTGAACCCCTGAGGGTTCATGCATATTTATTAGTTAGAAATATAGTCTATGGAGGAATATTCGGAAGCTAAATTATTGTTCATTCGGAACACCTATTTATATTATCTGTATTAGCTTCCTGCAATTAAGAGCACCTCCATGCGGTGTGTCTAAGATATTTAAAACATGGCAATAAAGAATTTTCACAGATCGCTAATTCACTTATCTGATATATGATAATAAACAATCTATAGATCCTTTTCAAACATGTATATTTAATGTAAAGCTACATTTTATGCATTACAAGGGTTTACTGACTTGAGCAAAGTTGACAGTTGTACCCTTTGATAAACAAGTGAAAGTTAACTGGTCAAGATTTAATTATAACGACCTATGGTATCAAACATCTGTGTATAGATATTCACAGAGAGATATTTTAAAATAGTGCTGTGCATGGTTTCTACATAATGAACTATAGTGGGCTTTGGGATTTGATTGTAACAATAAAATCATTATGCACACTTGTCATTTTGACAAATCAGATAAAAAAAATCTGTTTCAAATGAAAATAAAACAAGTAAAATAAAGACTGTTCGTTTATATACATTTTTACAACTTTTACTGTTTCCTTTTTGCAGTATTCTCTATCAATTAAGTTATCTTGTAAGTTAACTAAATATTTATTTAATTCATTGATGTCACTATTATTTCAGTGACCGCTGCAGAAAGTCTTGAATCGTATAAGAGACTACTGCATGCACATTAAATTTCAAGTCCCATGTTTTTATTTGCACCATGTATAAATGTTATGTACAGCACAAATTATTTCCTTTCTGTTAAAATTATTTTTGGAATTGTTAAGTATGCAAGCGCACACCAAACAGTGACAGGATAGTCAACTAGATGACGGTGGTCACTTAGTGGTAGAAGTAGAAATTTCTTATATTATTCACACACTGTAATGCTCTTAAATTTATGTGTGTTTTGGATGTGCACTAGTGATTGGTAAATATTGATACGTTTCTGTGTTTTTAATATATGTGACTTAACATCAAGAATTCCATTATTATTACTTCGGTATCTAAATAGAGAGTGATAAAAGGGAGGGTCTGAACACGGAAATACGTGAAATAACAAATCGCAAAAACGTTGCACGGAAAAAAAAACACTCTGGAAAAACGAAGCCAAGGAATAAAATCGTAAATATTAAGGAAAAAAGTACCAAAAGTTATTACTCAGCCGTTCTTGGAGATCATGCAGTCATTATAAACGGACATGGCGACCCTGCATGTGGTCAACTTTTAGCGTCCGTTAGTTGCATCTGATTTATCATAGTAATACAATAGGCTATTAATAAATATCTTGGGACCAGTTAATTAGTTTATAATTTAAAACAATATTTGGGCTGACTTTGAATTAGTCCCGGTTTACTTTTTAATCAAATGCGGGACAAGCACGAGAAAATAAGAGTACCGACACGAAACACGGAAAATAATTAAGGGAAAATACGAAGCACGCACATCGAACCAAACACGAGAAAACGAGAAAGAAAACGTCGAAACACGGAAACACGTGAAATAAAAAGGCCGAAAACGTTGCACGAAAATAACACTTTAACACCCTCTAAATAGGCCATACTAGATGTCGACACCTCATATTAGAACTTAAGTAGATGGTCAATTTCGTTTGCAAGGTTAAAGAAATCTTCAACTTGCTCTAATTTGCCTGTGAAGACCATAAAACCGTCATCCCTATTGACAGTGTAATTTGATGTTTTCTCTCCATTGGAACTTATCTAAGATTTTAATGAATAGGGCAGACAGATGCAGATCTGTGCATGTTGGTGACAATGGGCGCTCCCATTATGTGTTTGTGTAATTAAACTCAAATTCATTGTTTCTAAGAATTAATTTAACAAATGCAGTTAAATCTATTTTTTGAGAATCTTTAAAGTATATTCTCCTGTGTGTCAATAAATTCTAATGCATTGATAACATTTTTTTCTAAATTATCAATCATCCTATTTGTGTACATTGACGTACATCATAGGCAATAAGAATGCATACTTTTTTACCTCGGGTGACTCTATTTTATTAATGAAATTTTTTGTATCTTGAATGTAAAAGTTATGCCTCTTCAATAATTGGATGTTGGATGTGTACTTATTGATAATTTAGTCTTAGATGCATGACTTTTTTAATTAGTTGTTAGTGGCTTTGAACTAGCTGTCAGTAACTGCGAGTACTCTCAGATCTGTACTTAGTGTCTATTTGTTGTTGGGATATACAAGCACCCGGCCACGTCCACTCTGTGTAGTATTTTTGTTTGTATCCACACGAAAGAGAATACTTTTTCAACTGATTTTTATAGTTCGTTCTTATGTTGTACTGTTACACCACTGTCCCAGGTTAGGGGAGGGTTGGGATCCCGCTAACATGTTTAACCCCGCCACATTCTGTGCCTGTTCCAAGTCAGGAGCCTGTAATTCAGTGGTTGTCGTTTGTTGATGTGTTACATATTTGTTTTTCGTTCATTTTTTGTACATAAATTACCTCGTTTGAATTGTTTTACATTTGTCATTTCGGGGTCTTTTATAGCTGACTATGCGGTATGGGCTTTGCTTATTGTTGAAGGCCATACGGTGACCTATAGTTGTTTATTTCTGTGTCATTTGGTCTCTTGTGGAGAGTTGTCTCATTGGCAATCATACCACATCTTCTTTTTTATATTTATAATTAGATCAAGTAAGTATCTCTCGCGGGAGAGTTACACTTATTGATGATTGGTCGGTAATGAACATTAATGTGTCCTGCTAGCTGACTGTGACCAGTTCACAATGCCTCATTACTTATTTCTAGATTAATTTCATGAATTTTATAAATAAGGTACATGTGTCCTCCATGTTTTGAATTATTATTATTCTTTAAGAAATTATACGTCTGGGAATTTTTTTTTTCTCTCCTTGCTTTATATTTAACACTTCTCTCAACATGCTAAAATTGTAATGATTTACAATAAAAAGAAAATATTATCCTCCACACACATGGCCAAGATAACACTGATATATAATTTCTTATTCAGTTGAAATAATAATTAGGATAAAAAAGTTCTAAGGTTCACGTATTGTCTTTTTTTTTTTTAAAGCAACTTGTTTCATTATTTTTGTGAAAAAAACAGGTTTCACTGTATGTAAAAAATAAAGTTACCTGTACTTAATATGATTTGGTCAGTTTGCATTAAATTTGTAAGAGATATCAGTAGTTCTTAGATCGTCAAACCCAATTCTAAATAACTTTGTTAAAGGGATAATAGATTTATTCTTACATGTAAACCCTGAGCATGCTCCAAGGATTCTCAGAGCTTTTTAAGTAGGATTTTCTCAGCAGTTCATATAAAAACAATTATCATATTTCATTAAGACCAGCTGAATATGTCAATCAAATCTATAGCACTTCTATCAAAAGGAAAGTAAAGCATTGTAGAGGAAGCTCAGTTAAGATCTGTGCAAGCATTTGGTCTTTTTTTAACACACTTTGCATGAAATTTATATGTTTTATTAGATATCTAGATGGCATCCTTACTAGTCATCAACATGGAAGATGTTTAAACAATATTATATAGAAAATGCATTCACAAGTCATTGAAACCCAATGGTCATAGGACATAAATCTTACATTTTGTCATATTTAGAACAAAACAAATTTATTGAAAATATCATTTGGCAACTGCCAGTCAACTTTCATGGCTACTTTAACTTTATGTAAAATGTAGAGTTAGTAATTAGGTCTTTCCACTTTTTTGTGGAAAGACCTATTGGTTTTCTACTGATTATTTTTTTTTTTTTTTTTTTTCTTCCGCCTAATTTTGTTCTTGCGATAAATATTTGTTTGACAATATGTCGATTAGATATTTGGTATATGATATCGAACAGTTTATGCCCGTTTGAAATTTACCCTGCGTAACCAAATAATTTTCTTTGTAGGAGTTATCTCCCCGATCACTGTTTTCCTTGTGCACACATCTCCTCCGTAACCGTAAAAGAAAGCGACAAATTTATTTTACCAAATTGCTCGTTATATCCTCAGGATGTTTTGTCCAATTTTGACCGAAGCGATATGTAAACTCCATATGAGAGTTATTTCCCCTTCTGTATTTGACATAAGGGATATATAAATGTATAGCATGAATAGTAAGTGATAGAGACCTAAGGTATATTGATTTGAGTTCCTTGGTTCATTTAAATGAAATTGAGGCCAAGGTCAAAGGTCAAGGTCATATTCTAAATTTTGACTTTTCCTTGTTATTTGATCTCCTCTGTCACTTTTAAAATTACAAATTAAAAAACTAGTGCAAAATGTTTGCTTAATTGTGATTAAGATATGATACATTTGGTCTGAAACAATCCAATGATATCTTATAGGAATTATTGTCCCTGAAATGATTCAATTTAAGGTTAATTGATTACATGATAAAGCCATAGGGTCTTTTGCAAACTGTTGGTTGACATATGACCTTGAAAAAAGTAAACCGGAAGTGACCTTGAGTGAACCGGAAGTAGTAATTTTGCACTTATTTCATGGAAAAGTACCTAGAAACCATATATTTTTTGAATGATCATAGGTTAA